AATAGTGAAATTAAAAATATAAGTAACTTTTTTATTAAAAGAAAGCTCCTCCTCGTACTTCGCCATACCTTAAGGTTCGTTTTCACTTCCTCGGGGATGATCACAACCGTGAACTAAGGTCTAAAATGGATAACCTACTGAAGCCTCCTTTCACTCGCTCTGAGTATTACAAAAATTCTTTTACTATTAAGGCTGCAAATTTGTGGAACGATCTCCCATTTGAAATCCGACATTCTAAGTCGCTACCTATTTTCAAAACCGGATTGCGTAAATATCTTTTATCACGGTCCTAGTCTGCAACGTATGTATTAGTAAGTATAAGTTATTAGTAAGTATAAGTTTATTTAGGTATATTTATATACATATACATACATCTACGTAGGTATAATATATCATTAATTTTTAAATGTTTTATAAATTACTAAATGTCTTTATTTAATTTTATTATTTTGTATTTTTTTTATTTTTTTATTTATACAATTTTATTTTTTTTATTTTTTTATTTTTATATTTGTAAAATTGGCACACTACGTCTCCCGCTCCGATTAGCATTCCTCTAACTCTAAGGTTGTCTGGAAGAGATCGCTCTTAGCGATAAGACCGCCTTTGCCCACATTAGTTTTAAGTTGTTTATGTACTATTCTTGTTCTTGTGTGTGAGCAATAAAGTGTTTATCTATCTATCTATCTATCTGATCTAAAAAGTTTGATTATCGGCTTTTTTATTGGAATTACGTCTGTGTGCCAAGTTTTATAGAAATCGGTTAACGGAAAGCGCGTGACACCAAATTCAGCCCCTAGTTTGCCACTTTTAGAGGTGGAATATTTTCTTCAAATTTAATTGGAATACTGTCTTTCCAACAAAGAAATAATACTCAAAATCGGTTAACAAATGCAATTCATCGCGTAACACACACAAGAAACAAATAAAAAAGGAAGTTCAGTCGAATTGAGAAGAAACCTTATTTTTTTGAAATTGTTTGAAAACAGTTAAATGGAAGAAGAATTATACGTGTATATCTTCTTTATTAACATACCCATTACAACTTTATTTCTGCTTTTACTGCTGACATCGAAGTAACGATAGGGTATTTATTAGTGTACGTATATAATTATAATTGTAATCGACGCAATTAGTTTTGGCCCGACCTATTTATAGAGCTGGCGGCAATTTTGAAGCGATTATTTGTAGTAATTACGTTAAAGTGATACAAAAATATTTGTACAAATTATGTTATTAATGTTAAAATGTCAAATGTCATTATGAGAATAGCTTTTCCAACACCAGTTGTATTACCAGTTAAATCTAAGTGCAGTCTAGAAGCCTTTGAATCTTAAGGGATTTGGGCTTCTCCAGTTAAAGCTGAACAAATTAAGGCCTTTTTAATATTACGCTATTGTTAATATAATAATAATAATCATTTAGGCCTTTTTGTCGGTTTTTTTTTCAATAAAAAAAGTATAGAAAATTATGTCCCTCGTCGGCCATGACAGTTTAGTAATTTTCTGCGTTATAAATCAGTGGACGATACTGATCTAACATATCACAGCATGAAACTTTTGCGAAACATATACATGTAATTTCGTAATAATGGTTATTATTTTTTATTTGCAATTAACTGAGTGCCCAATCAATTAAAAAAATGTATTAGCTGAAAGCATTTTTAAGTTTCATGTTAAATATACAGGGTTATTTGTATAATGCAAACAACCTCGCAGAACTATTATTAGGTACTAACGTCATACAACTTTTGTTTCATGACATTTTACAAAACATTTACCAAAAATAAACTTTTAAGTTTTAGTTAAACTATCTCACAACTTCAAATTTGTGTTTGGTGGTACGGTACTTCGTAAGTTCAAACGTTCAAGCATCCAGAAATGTAGACGAAATGTCATTTAATTTGTTTGAAAACTATTCTGCCAAATCATTTCGGTGACAACTGCGCTCCGATTGGCCAGACAGAATTCGAAACAATTGACGGGTGTCGTCAATTGTTTCACTTCAAATCGACCAGTTTTACTTGAGCCTCGCTATAATGGAGGAAATTTTAAAAACTACATATTTAATATTTAACTATCGATGAAATGTGATTCCTTTTGTTTTGTAATTAGATGTTTTGCTGTTTCTCCCACACCACCGGATGGAACAGCCCCCCATTGTTAGAGCTATTATCTTTATTACAATAAATGCAGAATATTTTTGGAATATACGAAGACGTACACACAGGTCAGTTGTTGGCGTTGTACTATTTCAGTTTGCTAACTTGTGATTGCAGCGCAAACGAGAGTTGACAATTAAAAGTTATATAAGGCCCATTTTCCTGATGAGTTGCCAGGGATGGATGGCTCTTATTTCGTCTCTGTTCTTCGTGTTTATTTAGTTTTTTTTTTTTATACCGACGACGTTATTATACGTGTCACGGCTTCATTAATCCACAAAGTCTGCCGATATTGTGTAGTATATACGGGTGAAAGTCAATGGTACCCTGAGAGTCGAGCAGTTGGGGTCCCGCCACAAAGTTCAACCTTCATAAAAGAAGAGTTATGGCCGAAGTGTCACGTTGCGTTACACGTCGCAGACAATACGTGTAAATTATTGGTATTTTATTATATTATGATATATGTGTCCATAAGGCATTTATTTATGTATCTTTGTAACCTAAATACAAATAAATAAATAAGGTCAGATGGGATAAGAGGAACATATTTTATTTCGAGACAAATATTATGAGCTCTAGGAGGAATGAATAATGTCTTATACGAATTTCGGAATGCTCTAATCTTGCCCTGGTTTATCAGCTTTCCATGTTTTAACAATCATTACGCTAAAATTAATACTTACGACGTATTCGACAAAAACGTTCAGGTTGTGCTAACGTTTTTGTTCCTCCAAAAAACGGGGTAAGAGGAACTGTTATCGTATTTCATATAAATGCAATGTTTATTTAAATATATCCGTAGTTAATTCCTAAGTAACACTATTTCAATCGTATTTAATCTTAAAACCATTGAAATAACGCATACTTATCAAAAAAAAGGTGCAAAATTAATTCTGGGGCAAGAGCATACAGGTTAAGGTCAGGGGTGACATATTAAATAAAAGTTAATCTGTATAATTTTTTTAGTATGTACAAAATATAATAAAGGCCCATTTTAAACCACTCGTTTACAAATCAACACATTAAGTAACTTAAGTACTTTTTAAACATCGTCATAATAGAAAAACAACGTTTGCTCCAAAAATTAATTTATATTTCTAACAAAATATATTCTTCTCTAGTCACCAAAACCACTCTACTTTGAATACCGTTCCACTAAATCAATTGAAATTTGGTATAGAAGTAGTGTGATCACGTAGCTAACGTGCAATGAGCGTACATTTTTGAAATTGTTCTTAGATTACGTCATTATTTTAGAGCTTACGTAATTTTTTTTGTTTTTCCAATAAAATATAAAATTTTCGGAAAATTCCTGAGGGATAAAATCTACTACCAGAATTTTGTTGCTGGCCTTAAAAACTATCTTAGATGTGTGATTGTTTACACATAAAATTGTAGTGGTGTAATTATTGTAACGTCATCAGAAATTAACATCATGTGGACGAAGTCACTAAAATTTTACCAAAATTTTAAAAACGTTATTTGAACAAATTTAACTTAATTTCTTAAAAGTATATATGTATATCCAGGTATAAAATAATAATATATAATATATACGGATATAAAGTTGTATTTGTTCGAATATGACAATATTCCATTATGACAATTCATCAAAAAGTTTGTCACCCCTGACCCGGGGTAAGAGGAACATATGTTTCTCTTTCCCCATAAGTACTATGCCCTCTTACCCCAACAATGTTTTTGGCGGTTAGGATTTTGATTCCAATGAAACTCGTATTATTTGATGTTTTTGGTCTGAAATAACTAATAAAAAGTAAAACTTACCGTTTCCTCTACGTGTTTTTCTATAAAAATAATCTCCAGCACTTTTTTCACCAAGATCTAGCAAAGAAAAAGTTACGCGCCCATCTCGTGTTTTCAGACCACACAGCTGTCAATTTTTTTTCTCTCTCTCAAATTTGGAACATCGTACCGACATCTCTTTACAACCATTAAAACTAATTTGTTTGTCTGTTTTATCGACTGAAAGACTATAGTGCTAAACACTTTACTTTAGATATTATGGACTTTAGTCCCTCTTACCCCGGTGTGCCTCTTGCCCCACCTGACCTTAAATAAAATAAATAATAGTTTATGTGACTGTTACATATGAAAGGCGTTAAAACACGAAAGCGGGCATAAAAACACCACACGAGTGTTTTAATGCCTAATTATGTACAGTTACATACACTGCATTATCTATATATGATAAGCTCAGGAACCGCATGTTACGACTGGCGAAATGGCGCTGAGTAAAAACTTTTCTCATGTCATTTTTTTTCATTCATAGACAAAGTAGAGTCGGCCCCAACTATCATATCGTTCCATATCAAGTAACGCGTGAAATTTGTCAAAATTGTTTGCTATTGACCAGTCAATGCTATTGACATTTCATTTCGAATAAAACTTCATCTCGACTGATATTATAATTGAGGTCGAGTCAAATTATTTTGTTTTTCAGAGATTTTTAATTTGAATGTAAAAATAAAATCGAATTTGATGTTATTATTAAGCAATAATGACATTTTTACTGGAAATTTATTCTTACAAAACAGTTGATCTTTATGCTGGTCGTAATTTGCGGTTTTTGAACAACAGAGGGTTTATGTAGATAAATAAATAAATAACACCATTTTTTTCTCTGTTTATTATACACAAGTTTATACTTATAATACATATAATAATATGTAATTTGTCAGCCTGTAGAGAATGTCAGCCTGTACCGTACTAGTCCTAATACTAACATAGTTATAAGGTGTGGTATGTTACTAACTTGTTTATTATATAAGGCCTATACTAATACTACCTGGTAGTAACATCATCATGTTTCATTGTACAGGTGGAGAGCGGCACGAGCCCCTATGCACCTGGCCACGGTCTGGTGGTCCGATCTTTAGTCTACCTGTTCCAGTTGATACGCGATCGACCTGATTGCCACTTCGTATTGAAGGCGTCCTTTTTAGAGATTTATAATGAAAAGGTAAATTTTTTTTTATTATTATCGTAAATTCTCTAACCAACCTACTAATAACAGTTTCATGCTGATCTGGAACCAAAAGAAAAACATGGAAGGTATCAGATGCTTCTCATTCCGCGCAAGTTGTAAAAGTCAACTGAAGGATTGGGTTTAATGGTGTATCCTATATGTAGGCTACAGGCTGGCAACTTGTCACTATGGTGCACTATGTTAAAAAAGATTGTACACAATCTCCCAAACATTTGCCAAATGTGACTTTAGTTGCACTGTGTCTAACCAAGATAACGAAATAACTCAAAGAAGAAAAAAAGCTACTTCTGAGTGAGAACAGTCTCAGCTTTCTTAAGATTTTTCTTTATTTATTTGTTGGTTCAACAACAGCTTATCACGTTTAACATTTACATACATTATTATAATAATACAAGATTAGTGTGTGAACAGTAGAAAACATTGTCATAATCACTTAAAAACGGTACGGACACTTTATAAAAACGAATATAGTGCGTCGAATTCAACGACTGTTCCGTCACGGCAGAGACCCGATTGTCCCGGTTCTTCATACTACGTACATGTTCTCTCCTACGTAATTCTTGCCATAAGAGCAGGGAATCTTATATACCACGGGAATATTCAATGGCTCCTTATCCTTCGATGAACGCACCGACCTGTCCAAGCTGCACATGAGGGCGGAAAATCGCCTTAATATCTTGATCTATATCTTCGGCGTAACAAGTCTCCGATTTTAAGTACCACATAGATTTACCTGCTGTGTACATAAAATCAATTGAGTTTTTTACGAGCAAAGGATAGTGTTGGGGCTGGCCCGCACCCAGCATACAGTGACGTGCATCTCTTGCCCGTTACAGAAGAGAGGCAGCCCCACCAGCACTTGAAACGCGTTATTATATTGAACCTGGATTTGGTTCTATCGTCCTATTAGCGAGGCTCAAACATTGTAACTAAAATTAAAATTATATAGATTTTATTCAATTTCGCAGGTGATAGACCTACTGAATCCAGGCACAGCGAGAAAACCACTCCAAGTGCGGTGGTCGAAAGAAAGCAGAAGCTTCTACGTGGAAAACTTGTTTACAGTTGATTGTGAAGAATTAGACGACCTGTTTGCTGTTTTAGAAGAAGGTATCTTATTTTTTTTATTACTTATTATAGAGGCAGAAGAGCTACTTATGAAAGATTTCATATCTTACCTATATCTGCCACCGAGCAGTAATGTATACATTACTGAGTTCCGGTTTTGAAGGGTAAGGGTGCTGGTGAAGTTATAGCCACATGGGACTTGTCAACTTATATCTCAGGGTGACGGGCGCTGTGGCAGTGCCTCTCAAATTTTTGCGATTTAAAGCTCTGAATGGCAGTGAAACTGCTATGGCCAGGCGTGTAGCTTACCACCAGGCTTACGACTTGTTCGCCCCGTCACTTGATATTGTTAAAAAAACTTACGCATGAATTTTGTAAGGCTGGACTTGAGGCCTAACAGAAGCGTCTTAGCTGTTCACCTACTGCCGCCATATTTTCAGGTTTTTATGATATAAAGTGACGGGACGAACGCTTGGTGGTAAGCGACACACCTACCTATAACTACTGCAAGCCACTCAGAGCCTTAAATCACAGAGATCTGATGGGTAACGCCATCAGCTGCGATGTCACTCTGAGATATAAACTTGAAGTCCCCTGTGAGTGTAATTCAGCACCCTGACCTATTTTGAAAAACGTTCTATTTCTTTTTTTTACAAATACAAAATTTATTTATTTTCTCCCCACAGGATGCGTATGCGTCCTGTAGCTTTATAACAATAAGGTACTTAGATTACCTAACTGACACTGGAGCCTAAACTAGGTGTAGCCTGTATGACAGCACTCACCCTGCGTGTAATGTAATACATAAAATGAATAATGGAGAGACCATAGAGATAAGATATTTAGACTACATTAAACATTAAACCGATGTGTGTGCGTGCGTGTGTGTCTGTGCGTGTGTGCGTGCGAGCGTGCGTGCGTGCGTGCGTGCGTGCGTGCGTGCGTGCGTGGGTGCGTTCGTGCGTGCGTGCGTGCGTGCGTGCGTGCGTCCGTGCGTGCGTGCGTGCGTGTAGTGTGCGAGTATGAGTGATTTCTGCTTTGAGAGTATTGGTTTTTGTTTAATTGAGCAGCAAGTGCATATTACTATGTAGAAAGAAGTAGCTATAGTACCGGCACAGAGGTATTTACATTGCTACATAGTGATATATATAAACTCGCAAATCTACACATTTTTAGGTTCTTTGTCATCAATTAGTAGAATTTTGGTTGAAATGTCCTATTGATTTGAATAACTTTTTGTTTCCTTAATAGTCCAAACAACTTTTCATTGTTGTGACGACAACGTAAAGCTTTATCAGGAAAATTTTTATAATGTTTTTATGGTAGAAATAATTAGAAAATGATATTGCTAACTCAGAAACAAAAATGTGACTTGGTGGTATCAGCAACAGGCGTTTATACACATTTTACAGGTATGCGAAACCGCGCAGTCGGATCCCACGCTATGAACGCCAACTCTTCCCGTTCCCACACGTTACTTTGCATACGCGTGCGGCGTGACTTACGCACCGAGGGTGACGTCACGTGCTCCACGCATGGAAAGATCAACTTCGTGGACTTAGCTGGCAGTGAGATGACCAAAAAAACGCAGAGTACGGGAAAAACGCTCGAGGAGGCGAATAATATAAACAGAAGTCTTATGGTTTTAGGTAATTTTTTTATTTATTTATTAAGAATTTATTAAGTATGTAGTTCCTTGTTGTATAGTTGTTGATGTAAATCTGGGTACCTAGATTTAAAAATTAAATAGACAATTTACACAAAAGCTTATGCAGTAACAAATAAATTATGCTATTCGTTGCTGAATAAGCAGTGCTTTGGTTAACAATATCATAGGTCAATATCGTCTAATTTTTAAGAAAAACAAGCCAGGAAATGAATGAAATAATATGAACTTTAATTAAACTCGTATTTATTGAGTTGAGATTTTTAGTGAAACAATTAGTTTTGTTATGATTATGATTATAAAGATCGAAGACACAGAAAAATTTCGTCGACTCTGTAGGACTTGAACCCACGTCCAGGCTGCACCGTAGCATTGCTCCAACCGTCTGAGCCACGGGTCCAGTTACCGAGTCGTCGAAATTCTACAATGTGTTTTTGTTATAGGACTTTTCGGCATTCCTCGCCGCTAGTGATATTTTTCAATAACCTTTTAATTAAACTGGTTATATTTCCAGGTTACTGCATAGCGCAACTAAGCGACGGTAAGAAAAAAGGACATATACCGTATCGAGACAGTAAATTAACAAAATTATTAGCTGACAGTCTTGCTGGGAACGGTGTTACCCTTATGGTAAGATAGTATAAACTTTAACAATTACTTGTCATTAAAAAGTAACTATAACTTAACATCATTGATAAAATTAACATGATTTATTGCAGATCGCTTGTATTGCCCCAAGTAGATCTAATCTAAGTGAGACAATAAACACACTAAGGTACGCATCTCGAGCGAAGAAGATCAAATCTAAACCTATTGTAAAGATGGTAAGTGAACATGAGCCCCTTGTTGGTCACCAATTTCAATATAATATTCACAAGTTTTGCAGTATTTATGCTTTTCTTTTTATATACCTTTTGCTAAATCTACTTAACATGATAACAGATAATATCAAGTCTATGAACAGACAATGTCCTAATATGGTTTGAGAGCCTTCTTACGAAAAGTATAGTAATTAATTCTAAATCTTTGGTTGAATTTTGTATTTATGTAAAAACGTCATTCATTAATGGCGCAATAAGGAAGTCATATCAAAATGTATTTTCCGGCTCACAGATTAAAGGTCAGATCCAAATGACGGCTAGGGGATCAAGTATCTTGGAGCATCGACGAAACGCGGCTAAATGAAAAAGAATTTTTTGAGATATCATAAAAACCATAACCCCTTTTTCAGAAAATTGAAATTGTTTAATAATATTTCAGCTATGCATCGTTAGGGTACGTTCCAATAAGTTGAACACGTTAATTATAACTGTATTTAAAGACAACTTTGTGGTCTATTTTTTGCTATTTAAAACGGTTATTCGACTATTTGTCACTTAGCCGCGGTTTTAGTTAGTGGACGGCAGAAGTTTTGATATAAAAAAATAGAAATAGAGACGTATTGTGATGAATTTCTAGGATGCGAGAGACGCTCTTATCCTGAGTTTGAAAAGAGAAGTGGAAGCACTACAAGCTGAGAATCACCACTTGAGAACAGCTTTACATGTACAAACTGATTACAACATGGACGCGTACTGTAAGTATCAACTCATTTAATTTACTTTACGATAATGTATCTATACAAAAAATAATTACATTGTAAAAAAAATAATACTCATAGGAATACAAGCTTAATAAAATTTATATTCCATAATTACTAATACAAAGATCGAACACTCACAAAAAATTTCTTCGATCCGGCCGAATTCGAACCGACGTCTTCTAGCATACCGTGGCAGACGCTATACCAACTAAGCCACGGAACGAACCAGCGGACCTCACGAATTTTTCTATGTGCTTGAGTCGTCTGTCAATGTCGGAACAGTATGCCGGACGCGGTGTGGTATCTAAAGCTAGGGAGGGACGCAGGGTGATCTTTGTAATTATTTTTTTACCCTTTGACCAGTAACTATAGTAACAAAGATCGAAATACAATACAGTGATTCAGGGATTTCAAAATGAGATATCATCTACAGTAGGTGCATTATTTTCTTGATACTCTACCTATTCCGATCTCTGTTATTTAATTAATGTCGCCACTTTTTACAGCTCAACGCAATCGAAGAACTCCAACACAAATTGAACCCAACAAGCTGTACCAACTTCCACAAGCAGAGCTGGTAGATTTAGTCCAGCTGCATATGGATGAGAACTCAGCGCTAAGAAGAGAAAACAGCGAGTTATTTGGCGTAAGAGATCAGCTGCTTAGAGATCAGGAAATCCTGAGTAGAGAGAACGAGCGATTGCTGAAGAAACTCGAGGATGTCAATTCGTAAGTAGTTTTTCAAAATAAAAGTAGAGACTAAAAAGGTGTGTACCCTTTGTTTGCTTAAGGCCAAGAGCGATGAAAGATTTTTCATAAATTCAACAGTTTCTTTGTATTATCGTATTAATTTATAGGTACGTACAAAGAAAAGTTAAAAAATCTTAAAAACAAAAACAAAAACACAATCGCAGGTTATGTTCCTGTCATTATTTCTGATTTTTTCAATTTAAATTCAGATAACTAATTTTCATTGCTATTCGCTTCAATTGCAAAACAATAGAGTATTAGGGGTTAAAGTATGAAATTGCCGTTTTATTGCAATAGCTTCTTTGAATTTTCATAGAATCTTCATGGTTTGAGGTTTTCGAATGAAACTTTTTTCAAATGGTTTCTGTGATTTTTTTTTTTTTTAATTTGAAACATTTGAATATCGACTTTCAATTGTTTTTGTTATTCAATTTAGACAAGAAAGATGGATACTGCGAAAATTCGAGTGATTTTTGAATACGAGTTCCGACGCGGAACTAACGCGGCAGAAACAGCCCGCAATATCAATGCTGCGTTTGGAGAGGGGTCTACTAATGAACGCACCGTGCGATTTTCGTATAAACGCTTTCGTGATGGAAATTTCGACTTAATGAACGAGGCACGAGGAAGACCGCCCACACAGGTGAATAACGATGAATTAAGAGAGATAGTGGAAGCCGATCCTAGTCAAACTACCCAGGAATTAGCGGCATGGTTTAACGTTACCTTACCTACAATATTGACTCACTTGCGTCAAATCAATAAAATAAAAAAATACGAAAAATGGGTGCCTCATGATTTGACTGATCTGCAGAAAGAAACCCGTGTTGAAACTTGTGTTGCCTTGTTGAACCGGTACAGAAATGAAGGAATATTGGATCGAATTGTAACATGTGATGAAAAGTGGATTCTTTATGATAACCGGAAAAGAAAAATGCAATGGCTGACCACAGGTCAAATGCCACAACAGTGTCCTAAAGCAAAACTTACCAATAAAAAGGTAATGGTAACTGTTTGGTGGTCTCAGCATGGTGTTATTCACTATAGTTTTCTCCGATCTGGTCAAGCAATAACGGCAGATGTCTATTGTGCCGAACTCCGAACCATGTTGACAAAACTAGCAGTAAAACAGCCCCGACTCATGAATCGATCTTCACCATTATTGCTCCACGACAACGCGAGACCTCACACAGCACGAGAAACCATTTTGACCCTTCAGGAACTGCAGTTAGAAACCATTCGTTATCCTCCGTATTCACCAGACCTTGCTCCAACGGACTACCATTTTTTTCGTGATTTGGACAATTAACTACGTGACAAGAAGTTTTCTTCCCAGGAGGCAGTACAAAATGCTTTCACACAGTTTGTGCAGTCTAGATCGTCGGAGTTCTATCGCAAAGGCATTAATAACCTTTCCATTAGATGGTAGCAATGTATAGATAATAATGGCAACTATTTTGATTAAATAAATTTGTTAAAAATTAAAAAAATAAACAATTTAGATTTTCAGTACAAATCGGCAATTTCATACTTTAACCCCTATTATTAAAGATTCTACGAACGAAATTAGCCGTTAACTTTGTTATGCTTAAATAAGAGAGATGTCAAAGTTCACGTCATAGGCATAATTTGTTTCTTGTACTTTGTATTATTTTATGACTTTAAATTTTTTCTATTTATTTTAGTACAAAGTCATTACAAAATTTATGAATGTAAAAAAAAATTAACTGTGCTAGTAGAGTCCCAAATATTACACTTCATTATTATTAACATTGTTTAATTGAACTTAAAGATTTATGACAAAAAAATACACAACTTTTAACCAAAAAAGGATTAATTTAACCATAAATGCTTGAACAACTTTGTAATTACGCAACACTAAAGGAGTCGCAGGCATTCATGTGATATAAGTACTTCTCACATATGATCACATGTAACTTTATTATACCTTTATTATTGTAGAGTGTTTTTTAATGGGACATTGCGCATTGTGAGGAAATTCGAAACCATAAACGATGCAAGGAAACTGTCTTAGCAACCATTGAGTCTTTATGATAACAATTATATTATGAAAAACTTTTTTTTATTATATTTGACCAACTTCTGCTCTCCTAATTTTTTTGTTCCGATACGATGAAGTCATCCTTATAAGAAACTGAGTCTGAGGGTCGTATTCTAGAACTCTACTCAATGCTCAAGTCAGGATTTGAGCAGACTTGAGTATGATTTCAAGCACCGGAAATACGACCCTAATGGCAAGGACTTGAGTATGATTTTCAGTGCTCACTGCAATACTCAAGTCCTGCCTTCAGTATTCAGTAGAGTTCTGGAATACGACGCTGAGAGCTTTAAAGAAAATCAATGTTATTCGTTCCTTATGAAATTTTTTTTTTATGAAATTTGACTTCTGTACTCATTTTTTCGTCCCATACTGAAATGGTCCCTTGATGAAACTGAGTCGATCAGCACTAAAAGAAATTTCGATCAATTTTATGCATTTTTATGGACAACTCACGCTTGACCAAAAATTGACTATGCCAAAATTATTATCACGAAAAAGACTTAATTGCTCCTAAGACAGTTTCCTTATATCTTCTATGATTTCGGATTTCTCCATACTGTCCCATTAAAAAAACACTGTTTATATTAAAGTTAGGACATCACTTGTGATGAACGTGAAACAAAAAATAGCCAACGAAAATCTGCATGTTCTTTGAAAAATTATTTGTACGATATCGTCGCTTAGCAAATAATACCGCTCAAGGTGAAAATGTACGGTTTTTACTTTACAGCTAAGGCTGTGAACGCGATTGCGCATTGCATCCAATTCGTATTCGTTCTGAATCCTAGACTATACAAATCTAGAAAACTCGGACCCACTGCGGGTGTCGCTTGTGCACTAAGCCCAATTCGAAACCGATAAAAGATGAATATCGCTAGTCATCGAGTATATAACCAGAAATAGAGACGAAATGTCATTTAATTTGTTTTTTTTTGTTTGTAAAAACTGTGACAACTGCGCTCCGATTGGCTAGCCCGAGTTCGAAACAATTGAACAATTGACGGGTGTCATCAATTGTTTCACTTCAAATCGACCAGTTAACTTGAGCTTTGCTATAGTGGACGAAAATTTAAAAATTACATATTTAATTACCGAAGAAATGTGATTCCGTTTGTTTTGTAATTAGATGTTTTGCTGTTTTTCCCACGCCACCAAATATTTTACAATAAATACAGAATATTTTTTGGAATATACGGAGACGTACACACAGTTGGCCTGTGTTTCTGTATCGCTAATGTATTACCAGGAATATATGGCCCTTATTTCGTCTCTATTTCTGGTTGTATACTCGATGTCGCTAGTACACCAAGACATAAAATGATCCCTGTGACATTTCGAATCGTCATTTGTTGGATTCGGACCTGACACTCTTACACTAGTCAAAATAAACGTCAATATCAATAAAATTTATATAACCACACATATACAATTATTTCGTACCCAAGGTATAATAAAGTCACATGTAATCATACGTTAAAAGTGTTTTTATAACACGAAAGTCATAAAAAAATACGAACTCATAACACAAATTATATACAGGTGAAATTTTATAACCCCCCTTTATAAGCATAAAAACATTATCTACTAATTTCGTAGGGAAAAACTTTAAACCCTTGAAAAGTTGTCATTTTGCAGATGTGATCTAATTACGCAAGGGGTGCATTTGTTATCCATATCTAGAGCACTTATTACAACAATAGGTTAGAAAAACTTGTTTATTTAGGAGCTTCGGGTCACTAATTTAGGTGCTCTTCGTGGTAGTTCAGTAACTAACACTTTGCAGTTGGCCCCTGATGGCCTTGACTGCGTCACCGGATGAATGGACGAGCTGAAGGCTGTTAACTCGTTAAAAAATAAACTGAAACTAAGTAGCGGGTCTGAGGGCGCCCAAGACACGGACCTCGGTTCAGAGTGCTACTGGGGACTTCCACCAGAAAGGCGTGATGTGAAGAGAGAATCTATTAGTGTACGTGCTGAAATGGGGGGCTTTACGACCTCACCAGCAAGGACGGTTGTTATGTGTGGAGTGAGACTGGCTAGCGATCTGCAGGTCAATCCAGCACCTTATATCGTACGATTTCTTTTCATTTTTATTCACAATAACCGAATCGAACGTCAAACTGTCGTATTCGAAACCGAATCGAAATGACGTCACGCCCGTACGATTACCCGCACCTTTCGACCGGCAAATGATACAAACGTTAATTAAATTTTTATTGAATTGATATTCAATTATTTTTTGTGAAATTACTCCACTAGTTTGTTATAATTATTAATACAAAGATCGAACACTCAGAAAAATTCCTTTGATCCGGTCGGATTCGAACCGACGTCTTCTTGCATACCGTGCCAGACGCTATACCAACTAAGCCACGGAACGAACCAACGGACCTCACGAATTTTTCTATGTGCTTGCGTCGTGTCTTTGTACTTGGTCTTTCAACGACTTTTTAGTCGTAGCGCCATCTATGAGAAATCTATTGCAGATTTATCACCGATACAAACGTTATTCAGAACACAGTTATCGAATGAAAGTTACCGAACGTCCTATTGTTTACAAAGCAAGAACGTAACATGGAAATCTTTTATTATTTCAAATAAAATCTGAATTTCGTTCAATTTTATTAATTTATTTTAACGCGAGACTAATGCATTCCTATATTTTAGGCCTTTAAAGTTTTAAAAATGTTTTATTATGGAAACTAACACGGTTATCACACATTATAATATAAAAGTAACGGGACTTACTGGCGTAGTATTTTAGTTGGAAGCGAAACGAGACGGAACGTGGCTACTAGGCTAGCTGAGCATATCCGATCCATAAAGAACCAAGATGTCAATGGATCTGCGGTGGCAGACTTTCTGAGCTCCGGTGCTGGTCACTACATTAGGTTTGATAAAGCTAAGGTTTTAGCGCGGGAGAAGTATTTTGTGCCCCGCAAAATCCGAGAGGCTATTGAAATAAGTAGGCGACCAAATTTTAATAGAGACGGAGGCTGGAGCTTGCCACCGACCTGGAAGCCGTGTCTTCGTGGCGCTCGGTATGCAGCTGCAGATGTTAGTGGTAACGATGTGGTGAGCTCTGTGTGCTGGACTGTCCCCGACAACAATCTTACGGACAGCAGTAGCGAAGAAGAGTTCCAGCCTCCCGAGTTCCCCACTGCGGACTGCGTCTTTGGCGCGCACGCAGAGAGCCACAGCGTGCAGTGCTAGACGTGACGCGGTCGCAAACGTTGCACTCAACCCCTGAAGAAGACCATCGATTATGGTCGAAACTAGTCGGACCGCTTCCGACTAAAATACTACGCGAGTAAGTCTCGTTACTTTTATATTATAATTCTTAAAATGTACATATATAAAAGGATTTTATTTTTCTTATTATCTATATTCGCCGACTAACGCGTAACCGTTGTTGGATAACGATATCGTATCCGAGTCCGAATGGAACGTTTTAACTCGAATGTTCTGAATAGTTCGGAAAGCGCCATTCGATTCGAGAACGACATTCAATCGAACGATTCGGTTAAGATATCGAAGAGTTCTGTATCGGGGTCCTGGTTGGCCTTCAAAGTGGCGAGAGTGATAGGGTCAAGGTTTCAGTAAAACACTTTTGGTATTATATAGGTACTAATCTAAGAGCGCTGAATGTGTGTGCTCTATATAATATGCTTGAATATACAATCAACCAATCAAAAGGCCTATATTATTTACAGATGTATTGCTATCTCGCTAATATTAAAACACGCCACTCGTGAACTTGCCGCGCACTCCACGCGTCATTACCGTCCCAGCCGGGTACATACGAAGATCATTTCAGCACGTACTAGCGTAGATTCTCTCCTATAGCAGGCCATTCTGGCGGAAGTCTCCAGTAGCTTCCTGAGCTGAGGTCCGTGCCCACTAGGGCGCCTTAAAGGCCATTATATCGTTTTAGTTTATTTTTAATAGATGGTTCTTAAGAGACCAACTTTTTTCAAAAATAAACTTGCCATGCAGGGCAAAATCGTGGCGAGTAGACGTGTCGTATGCAGCTACTTAAACAATGATATAATATGTAGTTTGTCACTCTCTTTTAAAATTATTCGAAAATGACTTGAGCACTGTCGTTTGCTGAATCAGGCACAGTTAGGTAGCTCACGTTGGATTATGTGGTGCTATGTTCAGGTTTAATTCTAGATAATACTAATGATATTGTTGTGTACTTAGGAAAATATTTGGAGTAAGCTGACATCCCCCAATGGCCGAGCGGAGGTCAGTGTAAAGTTGTCAATCGATAACTGCATGACTCCACTGCTGAATGTAAAAGATAAAACGATCATTCTCGGGTTAGTATTCACTCCATAATTCAGTGGCAATTTTTATTAAGTATTCGAGTCACGGGCCACGTTGACCGGATGCAACTTGAGAGGTGGGTGAATGTCATCAGTCATTGGGTGTCTGAGGAAGGCGATGATGCGGACTTTGTTCACCAGTGGACGCCGTGTGTAAATTTGTAAAAAGCATAAATTCTTAAATAATAAAAATTGCCACGGAAATTAGACAGAGAACACTAATCTGGTAATGACTCGCAAGTTAAATAAGTAAATACAATAATATATAACTATTATTTAGACAGTGTGTTTAAATTGCATGACAGAATTAAAATAAACAACAATGATCATCATAACTAAACGTACAAATAAATATGATAACACGTGTGCCAGATTATATATAAGTACCCATGTATGTATTTATTAATATCAAATAATTAAATTTTTTTATATCTTATCTTTTAGATATAAACAAACAACAATAAAGCACAATACCCACAAACCACAGCAGCAGACTTGTTAGTATGTTTGCAACAATTTTCATTGATCCCCATCGATTGTACAAAAGATTATTTTTAGCACTAACATAATATGTACAGATGCCACTAACTAAACACATTAGGTTGGTTAGTGGCATCGATCTATCGTAGCTTCGTAACGGATTAGCGGATCTCATTCCGGTCATTTGGTTTGTACACACATAACAGTTGAATATTTTTTCATGCAGTTACTTTTCCACTCTCCCTCTGCGTACAAATTACTTAATTAATTCTTTGACCGAGCATCGGACAATCAACAACTCCTGAGAAATGTTTCGTTTCGCCATGTTTATGACTGTGTTATTTATTTTATAAATTTTTATGTGATGAGAGGGTGCTAAAATTAACTGCATGAAATTAACTGCATTCTTGACAGTCACTAAGAGCCTTAACACACCAGCGATTTGACAGTGCACGTGGCGACTACGCCGCGGTCGCTTGGCCATTTGAGAGCGTGCTCGCTGCGAGTTCGCATCCCTTACAAATCGCCAAGCGACCGCGGCGTCATCACTGCGTGCTCGCGGCGGGCACGTCTCACCGCTTTCAAATCGCTCGTAAATTGCCAGCGTAATAAGACTCTATTTCACTTAAGGGGCAATGTATGCGCTTCAATAATGGCAATGTATGCGCTTCAATAATAAGATTCGGGTTCATATTCAAATTTCGCAATTTACGAGGTTTAAAACTATAGTCAGATAAAATCTTTATTCTAAAGGTACAGCTTCTGCGTACTTGGATGAATTTCGTGGTAGCGACTCGTTTAACTTGTGCAGGTATTCTCGATCTAAGATGTTTGAAATAAATATTGTAAATGATAGATGTATTCAATTGTATATTTACAAAAAACAACTCTTGCTCATTCTTCTCAGGGTAATCTGCCTTAGGAATGAGCAGTAAAATCAATATGACGATTTCAAGTGATAAAGAATTAAAGATGAATTGACTTTACTTCCATTTTAATTAATATGGATTTGCGCGAAATAACGCCTGATTCTTTTAACTAGTTTTGATAGTATATGTAACCTGAAACTCTGGGTGCATTAGCCGATCAGGTAATAGAGAAGGGGGCACTTTGGGAAATGAACTTTAAAGATTTTTCAAATTTTGTCTTAAATTGTTTTGAGTGTTTGTTTCGGATAAATTAGACACTTTTTGTTATTAATTCATCTTCGCGGGAATTGACTTACAAATAAATGGACGACGGGTCTAATACAAAAACCACGAAAAAAATGTCCTAAGTCAACCTATTTAAACGTAGTGACATGTAAAGGAATATGAAAAAGCTAAAACGTTGAATTTAAATTGTAATGTCATCGCAGTACTGTCTAATTTTGCTTGTTTCGCTGTCAGAAGAAACAAACGAAGACTAAAGCGTGAATGACGCTCTGGATACGATTTTAACGCCATATAAGTTCGGATACTTTTTAGCGCGGACCCGACGTCCATATAATTGTAAGTCAATGTTCGCGGACGATAGTTTACGAGAAAGTTAAAGAGGAGAATTATGAATAAGGGGTGTACCTAAATTTGACTCTGGAATGGTACATTTAACCAAAACATGTTCAGAAACGCATTAAATTTGGTTCTGGCAAACTATTGCCCGCGGAGAAAGAAATAATAACAAAAATTATTTATTTACGTCTAATCTATCCGAAATAAACGCTAAAAACAATATAAAACAAAAACAATCTTTAAAAATTTTCTAACACCACTTTCCATAGTACGGTTCCCCTTTTCGTACACTACAACAGTAGAATGCTTGCTGATTTTCTATTAAGGGTCAAGAAGCGGCTACCGTTTAGTTGGAAAAGTGCCCTAAAAAAAACGCAAATTAATAATTATTGACTACTGTTCACATTATAACGTGTTCCAGTGTATGTATCAGATCGCCAATCATCCCCGCGCGGCCGACCTACTCAGAGCCAGCAGCCAACGTGACGCCGCCCAACATCTGGACCAACCCTGCTGCTTCTTCAGCTAACAGCGTGTCAAATGGCCGAAGATAGAAACTAAACTTACAACTAAATACCGACTTCTTGTCAATGGTACGATTGCTTATTATTATCCCGATATTTAGTAACGGTTAGATGCTCTATGGTCAACTTAGAGGATGGAAAAAAAAAGAACATAGTCTAGATGGTCAAGTTTTAATCAGCGGCAGTTGACAGCGAAGAACAGAACGTCTATCACGAAATACGAAGCAACGATCGAAGATCGTGAATTGTCGTAGAAACTTGTCTTGTTATTATTTCCTCTATGGCGGCCACTGGGCTTGTGCCAGTGTCAGTTTTATAAGATTAAGGCTAAGAACTCATGGAGCGGTTTTCACCCGCGCCCACCGAATAATGTAGAAATGTATGCAAAATTTAGTAACACATTTCACGACGTTTTACGCCGCAAACCGCGTGAAACACGGTCACCCGCGCGCTTAGCGGGGGTCGCCCGCGCACTCTGCGGTCGGTTTGCGGGCGACGCGTTGCACGCGCGCGGGTTGGGTCTTTCCTTCTCACGCCATTTTGTGATTGGTTTTCAATTTCTCAAGTTATGGATGTTGAAGGATGTTGAAGTCGATCAGTTAATTTCCTACCAGTTACCATTTTTCTTAAAAGTTCTGAAAAAAATTAAAGAATTTGTCCTTATGTTTTTTTTATTAATAAGAACAACGAATAATCCGTAAAGATTTATTTCCTGAATCAGAGGATGCACCCAGAATCTTTTAGCCCTTCTTCTTTTAATTCTTCGATGAAGTAAGTATAACGCGATAGCTCGTTTTTGATGCGAGTCCATGGCGACGTCTGAGACTTAACTGACGATCTCAATCGATCGTAAATAACCGCGCGTCTTGCAATTCGCTCCAGCCAAGTTTGCGGGTCGTTCCGCAACCGCAACCGCGGCGGCTACGTGACCGCACAAACCTGCGAGTGTTGAAATAAAACAGCTGTCCCGCAACCGCAGCGGGCGCGGGTCAAAACTGGGGGTCTACTCTCGATCTCCGTCCGAAACAATTACTGCCAAATAAGCAATACTTGACCAAATGAAAAGACGCGTGATGCGAATGAAGCTTCATACTTGATACTTGTCTTTTAATTTTGTCGAATATTATTTATTTGACAGTAATTGTTTCGGACGGAGATCGAGAGTAGACCGCCTGCTTCGTGAGTTCCATCTGTAATACGAAATTATGGCGATCATCGCCAGTGTTAGTGAATAAAAAAAATCTACTTTCTGTTAATACCTTACTTACTCCTTAGAGGATGGAACAAAAATGTTTCCATAGTCTAAGCCTTACTCCGAAACGACAAATGACAGCTATCGTATCGAATTTTGACATTACTTTCATAGTAAAATTGACATATCGCACTGCTAATACAATAGTGCATTAACTCAAAAAGTGAATTTATTTAGAATAGCTGAAAAACTAATTACTAAGTCCCGTGAAAGAGTATTATAATTTATGTAAAAGGGTCGAAACACAAAATTGCGATGCGAATTCGCAACGTAGAAAACTGCGACGCGAATTGTTGCGATGCGATTTTGTGTGGCTAGCTACGTTTCGGGTAACCATCCCTTCGACAATCATCAACCGTGCTGAACGTATTTTTTAAACTAGGTAGCGACATGGATCATAAAAAGAGTACTAGAGGACTGCTGTTATTGATAAAAACGTATAGGAAAAAAACACAAAGAAAATCAACATCGCAGGAATGCGCGATGCGGAGCAATTCGCAAATTCTTGCGACGCGTCATGTGAGCGCGTAGATTTTTGCGATGCGACGCAGTTTTGTGTTTCGACCCAAGTTAAAGTTTACTTTACATCCGAACAATTTCCTACTTTAATTAGAAGTAAATTTAAAAGTAAAATAATGTGATATTTTTCAGTAAGAACTATTTTGTTTAGAACTAGCTCACAAAACGTTTGTCTTATTTTGAGTTAATTAATAAAAAAATAAAAAGTGTTTATTTAGGTTTACTTTAACCTAGTTTACAGCAAGTTTGCTGGGGAACTCCATTTAAGCAAAATAATTGCTTGTGCTAGGAGACCCCGCTCTTTCATGCTAGGGTTTTATGTGACCAGGTAAGTTACGACTAGTTACAGGATCTATATAATTAATTAAATTAAAATTACAAAGAGAATAACATCATGTATTTTGTGTGTGTATGTGTGCGTGCGTGCGTGTGTGTGTGCGCGCGTGTGCGTGTGTTTGTGTAACTTTACGTAAATTTGCAAAATATGTAGGAGTACAGTATATCTATTGTAAGAGTCCATAAGGGATTCAGTCTGTTCATAATTTAAAGTCTGCAGAAAGTCACATACAACTTTTTTGCAGTCGTGGGTCTTTAAAGGTTAATTAAGAGATTTTTATTAATTTTAGTGTACAGGTAAGATGCACGTCTGTTAAATTGTCTACTAGCAAAGGTTGTTTTTACAGTATCGTAGGGAATCACAAAATTGCATCTCCTTTTTTTTCACTACGCAAGGGTCATAACTTTGATATATTTTAATGTTTTCTTACAATATTCTAATGACGGTTTTACTGACGTGTACAGAATCGAGCTTTACGTTCGTCTGTTCGTATGTTTCGAAATGGTATAAACTTGAATTTCACATATTTTGAATTACAACACTATTGCAATAGCAGTGCGATATGTAGTACGTAAGAGCTTCGTTGTCACGTAATATCGTAGTTCGTGGTATACCTCAGCCATATTCTGTCTATTCTCTTTCGCTGTCAACATCTACCCTCGCGAGCATCCTTTCCGAAATATCGGTAAAATAATAAGAACCCATAGCATGTTAAGAAACTTGTGACTAGTGGTAATAATTTAGTGAACCACGATAAATTTAAAATGTAGAGTAAATACCAATAGTGTTATTTATGAGGTTGCTGACAAGTAACATCATAGAGGATCATTTACTAGATAGCAATGAGTGCAGTAGAGCTCCTTATAAAAGACCCACCTTACCTACCTATTTCGGCCGCCAGGCGGTAACGTGAGCATTTTTGCGTTCCGATTTTGAAGGGTAAGGGTGCTGGTGAAATAGACACTTAGAACTTGTTAACTTATGTCGCAAAGTGACGAGCGCAGTCGCAGTACCCCTCATATATTTGTAATTTAAAGCTCTGAGTGGCACTACAACTGCTACGGACAGGCGCTCGACTTGTTTATCCCGTTTGGTATTATAAAAAAAAAGTCGAAGGCCAAAGCTGTTCTAACTCATTTGTCGCGACGACACGACACCACGTTTGTGTGGAATCACCCAGAGCATTACTCACGGTTGTCTCATTCGCTGCGCGACTGCTGTGTGTGTGATATCCATGCTACGCTGAAGGTGGTAGTGCCGGGTGTCACCGCGACAAGCTTCATAGCTTCAGTTCTACCCTAGGCCATTGGGTGAAGCGCGACTTCGACCGGTAGCGTTGCTCGTCGTTGTCTGAGCTAGACATTCTCTGGTCCCCCTAACCGCATAGGATTCTGGGAATGGAGAGATACTTCGGCGTCGGGGGATGTTAGAGTCAGCAGCTTAGCGGTGGCAACCGTTAGTTGTGCAATGCGCAGCAGGAAATGATGCCCACAGCTCCGGTACCTATCCGGAAAATAGTGAGAGTACTGTACGTGCACCCGGGGCGGCTCACCCGAGACACTAGCCTCTGGAGAACCGAGTGAAGTCAGTGACGACGTGTGTGACAACCCTATACACTGGCTGATCAGGGCCGGGGTCAGGACTTGAATGTAAAAAGTACCTGTGCTGGCACAGGTTACAGAGTCCTTCTCGTATACCCTAAGGGTCGATAGGGAGGGTCACTATAATCAAAACTTACGTAGAAAGGAATGGGGGATGGTAGTGTTGCTCACCCTTTTGAGCATCGGATGGTCTGTGTAAACAGACTGACCTATGCATCTGGGGTCAGGACTTGACTGAATAAGGTCACTGTGCGATCTTGTTTGCAGAAATAGTAGTGCCTTCTCGTAAAACCAAGAAGTTGATGGGGAGGGGCACTACAAACAAAACTTAAGTGGAGGGATATGGGCCTGGCAATGTTGCTTGTAGAATAGATGGTCGATGGGGTTGAAAAATTCTTGATTCCGGGAGATGCCCACTTTGTGGCACGTCACTCAAAAAGTGGACCGATGGCCTGGTGAAGGCTGCGGGGATCCGCAGGATGTGAGCAGCGCAAGACCGGTCTTTTGTGGCAGTCTTGGCAGTGCCTCTCAGATCTTTGAGATTTAAAGGTAGAGTTTAACAATTGTGACGATTTCAAGTGTAATAATGCTTACCTATGAAATAAAGATTATTTTGAATTTGAATTTGAATTGGAATTGAATAAAGCTCTGAGTAGCACTGCAACTGTTATGGACAGGCGTATCGCCTACCATCAGGCGCACGACTTGTTAGTATCATAAAAAAAAATGATATGAGTGAAGCCTCAAGTTGTTGAAGTAGGTAATGACGATGACTGTTAAATTGTTAGTGTCGAGTCCAAGCGCTACCACCCCAAGGTCCACAAGTAATTTGACGATGATTGTTGAACTTGAAACTGGTTTATGGTATAATTTTGTATAAACCCCTAAAAGGCTTTGAATACGATTAACTTTGAAACGTAAATAGAACTTTAGCTTTAGTTACAGATGATCCGTATAGGTATAAAATAGAAGTTACACTTGACAATTTTTGACCTTTAAGCTCAATTTACGTTGCTGCGGAACGGAATGGTAGGTACCTAATATAGCGTGTAAGCCCTATCTACTGCGCCCGAAACGTACTCGACCCGATTTCGCTAGGATCACCCATCCCCGGGTGACGTAATCAATTAGTCTTGTTTAATAGATGGCGTTTCTCGCCATAGATCTCGTTGTTTCAAAATGTCAACTTCTATAACCAAAAAATAATATGATAATCTTAGAATAATAACGCATAGAAACCTAGTCCGCACACACTAAGTGAGGCAAATTGAAGCGCTCCCAATGGGCCTACACGAGCGGGCGGGCCGTCAGTGCTCAAGGTCAACTTGCACCGCGAACAGCTCAAGAATTTTAGCTAAAAATGACGAAATGTGCGGTAAATGAGTGTAAAAATACGTCAGACAACATAAAATAGATAAACATCACATTCCAAAAGGAAGTAACGCGTTTCAACTTGTATTTTTATATAAATATTCACTAAAACCGAAAATTAACCTACTACTAAAACTATATTATTTGATTTTTGCCCCCCTTGTGACAGTTCGTTTGATATGAAACTATCATTCTATGCGTTATTATTCTAAGATGATAATAGCCAAACGGCGTCATTTAGCTTCCAGTTTACACGTGCATCGCGGCCCTTGAAAGCACGGGCCGTGGGAAGCCAGCTTTAGGCGTGATTACCAAGCCTCATTCCCGGGCGCCCTAATTAGCATTGGAGAGTCCACCATAAACGTCGTCTGTTCGAGATATATGTATAGTTTTCATGTGTCTTACTTACTAACTTACTAAAGTATTTAATTCTACATCGTAGTTTCCGTGAATGTCTCAACGTCCTGTTTTACTTTATGTCAAATGTATAAAGTATAAACCAGATGCGAGTCAAAGTTTATGTTCCGCGACAATGTAAATCGAGCCTGTTTCTATTTGAACCAGTGCGCAGTGCCCAGTTTTTAGAGACATGGTTAATATACTCCTTCGTAGTTATTTTGTAGTACAAATGTGTAAATTACATGTGATACAAAATTATATTGATCAAAAATCGTCAAGTAAACATTTGACAATAAAAATATCAATCAGTATTTTAATGCACAATTTCTCTTAGCTCACCAGTTTGTAAATATGACTTTAGTGTACTTTATATATAGTAGATATTTAAATGTAGATATTGGTAACCGTTATTGTATTATTCCAGAGTAGAGGTTGTGTTAATAGATATAAGAAGAGTGCAATTTTGTTTTAATAAAAAAGTTATTTAAATTTGTGTATTTATTTATTTGTTAGTTTGCCGAGAAATAGTACAGACAATGGCAGAATTAAAGTCTGTTACAATCCATTTTGAACAAAAAGTAAACAAACTTGTTTGGTTAAAATTCTAAAGCAATCACTCAATAAATCCAATAAGTATCACTTTCAAGTATATTTCGAACATTTCGACTTGATATATCATCACTTTTTTCAACAATATTCATTTGAATAGCTCACAGATAACTGTAGACAGGAATAGCTTCGTAAAATCGTATTTGAAAAATAGTATTCCAAAAATCTATACTTCTATGACTTGCCTATGGTTGCATAGTGCTGTTCGAAAAAAAAAACATTCGGTTCAATCAATTAAAGTTTAGTAATCGATTATTAAATCGAACATTTCAATCGCAATCGAACGAGTATCTAAGTCTAAGTGAAGGATTTGAAGAATTTAAATTGAAATTTTAAATATGCTTATATAGGTTATGTAGATAGATAGATAGATAAAACGTTTATATGGATCTGGCTACGGACACACATACATAAAAGAAAAATATGTAATACCATAAAAAAAAGTAAAAGAAAAACAGCAGAGTCGCAGCACTGCCGAACACCCAGTTATGTATGTGTGCTGTAGCAGCGCAAAAAGGCCATAGCTCAGCGTCGGTATTTGCTCAGGAGCAAACCGCTGATTTTCAGCTATAACCTAGAGTATTCCGCGGATACGATAACCAGCTAGCTGACGCCATTTTCATGTTGTATAAATTAAGCAAATAATAATTTCGAAACTAAATAAATACCGAAGATAATATAAACATAATAAACAATATTTTTTTAGATTTGATTTAACTATGTTAATAATATAACCAAATTATACATTGAATTAAATGTGATTATTACATAAAAGTCAATTTAATTATAAATAGGTATGTTGCTATTACACAATGCTATGTAGGCAATTTTCGCTACCTAAGCAAAGCGCTGTGGAATATCCTTTTTTTGAGAGTCTAGAAGAAGTGCCTTTACCTTTACCTTGAAAGCGCATTTAGTAATGTAAGGAAATGTAAGGAAAACTGCTAGTATGACTCAATTGAATAATTCGATTCATTCAGTGAATTAATCGATTTGTAGTTGGCGTTACAATTGGACACCACTAAACCGTCTATGGTCAGGGTCAGTGACTTGTTTATTTACTTTTGTTCAAAATGGATTGAAACGAAGTATACATTATTTATTCTCTCGTAATTTGTACCATTCACCATAATCGTGGGCTAGTCTCGAACTTTGATAATGTGGTCTAGACATCTTGGTACAGGATGTCCCACGGTTCTAGACACAGAACAATAAATATCGTAGAAGTACTTAGTGGGCGTGACACGTACGCCAACAGTACGCGTAGTCCCATACACTTATTTTAATAAATTTTCTGTTTTCTGTTTATCACAACAGATTTTTTGTTATAAGAAACGAAAGTACACCTTATACTGCTGTAATATGGACGACTTTTTTTGGAAAATGTTAATAGGCATTAATCATTTGTACATTTTTTTTATATTTGTGGCACCACATTGAATGAAATTTCAATTATAAAATCAAGCACTATTGCAGAATAACAAAAAATACTTGTATGTTAAATTTAAATAATCTTTATCAAATTATCTGTCAATAAGCATCATTGAAAAACATAATCAAGTTCCTTAATTTTAATACACAATTTGTGTTTTGAAGAGTCTTTACAGTCTCCACAAATACACCACAAGACTTCTTAATGAATAACATTCTTTATGCACATCATAGTCTTTTTTTCACTTAAATAAAAGTAGTTACTGCTAATGTTTTCTAAACCCGTATTTCTTCCTTTCGTAGAAGAGGTCAGTCTTGGAACTACCCAGGTTAACTATCTTAGGACATCCATCTCTCTGAAAAAGAACAAGATAAAGAAAAAAAAGAAAGTAAATGATTTATAGGAAAGAAAGTGTTTAACATCACACCATACTTGATATGGAATGATATGACAATTGCAGGAATTAATAAAAGGGGCAACCCTTAATTATAATGACTGCATTTTCAATTTATTTCTGTGTATCTAAGTTATACGTATATTGGTAGAGTACTTATGTCGTACCAGCATCTTGAAGATGTCCTTTAATATGGAAACTCACTTAAAGGACAAAATCACTTACAAAGTTCTAATGCAGGTTAAGAGTTACAAACACAATTGAGGAGCTTCGAAACTATAGATTAAACTTTAAATTTAAAACACATTATTATTATGAGTAACATTTAAAATAAGTTTCTAAAGAGAATTTAGCGGTTGTTCCAATGCTCCTCAATTGTGGCCCTAATGTTGTCTGAAATATAAATAAATAACTATATATGTAACCCACAATCTTGTTAAAATAGTGGAAAATTTGTACAAGAAAGGCACAACATCGAAAGGAATGATGCACATCCGACGCCTGCATCATGGTAAAATAAAAAAGTATGGGAATTCCATACAAACAGCAGCGCAGCTTGTGTGTGCTCCTACTGCATGCTACGTACAGAAGCAGACATCCGCGTAATCTCGCGATGTACTCGCGTTGCATAAGTCGCGCACACATACAAGCCACGCTGTTATTTCGCGTCGTACTTTGTACCACACTTCTCTAATTTTACTATGTTTACACTCGGCATTGAGTGGATAGTGGCTAAAAGAGAGAAAGTTATACATAAAATACGTAATCAGTACTCACATCCTTCTCCTGTATAGTGCACTCCTTGCAATAATAAGCGTCAGATACGCCAGGACCACCGCAGATAACGCATCTGCCCTGGTAAGAACCGTAGTTACATTCGTCGCAAATACGCACCAGCGTGCATGGGCGCACGTACGAATCGCATATCACGCACTTGCCGTCGCACTTCTCGCAAAGACGACCGATAGCTAGAAAAAACATGACAAAAACATTAATTGTCGGCACGCATAAACTTAATTCATGGGTTCGTAGTAATTGTTCTTTTACTTACCGACGCCAGGCTGTTTACGGCAGAAAATAAGATCTGGATGATGCTTTGCCATTGCTGTGAGATTTGTATGGGTCTTGGTGTAGGTTTAACAGCGTAAGATTTATTATTTATCAAGAAATTCAAATAAACAAATTATAACCTCAAAGTTAGTCGACGCCGCCGCTGTGACGTTTCTTGTATTGCATTCAATTTAGGATGATAAACTGGAAAACCATACTGGTGGAAAAAATATCCATTATGTTAGATGTATGGTCTAAAAAGTCTAAATACATTACAGCTGTTATTTATTTCTTTATTTATTGAGCACTGGCTATGAAACCCTAATATATCTTAACAATACATACCTACTTGTCAACCAATGATCTTAGGTAACTTACACCAAAAATTAATTTCAATACATTAGAAATAATTGTGGCAGTTGTTGTTGATGATGTTAATTTTTTATTTTTTTCCATCCTCTAAGTGTTAATTGCACAAAATGCGAATGCGTCATTATCATTAGAACGTTTCAACGAAATCAAATTTTATTTTCAGTGGAAAGAGTGAAAAATGGATCAGGCGAGGAACTATGAAATACAATATAAATAAAAAATAGGCATAAATATAGGAGAAATATTAATTATAATAAAAATAAAGAAATATTAATATATTATTAAGACAACATCCATTATTATTTATTTGTTGAGCATTGGCTATAGAGCCATCAGCTAAAACAAGCAACAAACAATCAAAAAACTGAAAACCTTAATATATTATGAATAATAACGCATAGAATGTTAGTTTCATATCAAACGAACTGTCACAAGTGAGGCAAAAATCAAATTCATGTAGGCTAGTTTTAGTAGTAGGTTAATTTTCGGTTCGAGTGAATATTTATATAAAAATACAAGTTGAAACGCGTTACTTCCTTGTGGAATGTGATATATTTTATGTTTGTCTGACGTATTTTTACACTCATTTACCGCCCATTTCGTCATTTTTAACTAAAATTCTTGAACTGTTCGCGGTGCAAGTTGACCTTGAGTACTGACGGCCCGCCCGCTCGTGTAGGCCCATTGGGAGCGCTTCAATTTGCCTCACTTATCGTGTGCGGACTAGGTTTCTATGCGTTATTATTCTAAGCTCAAAACGTAATAATACTCAGGGTCGTATTCTAGAACTCTACTCAATGCTCAAGTCAGGTTTTGAGTATGGTTTATAGCACTCGAAATCATACTCAAGTCCCTGCCATTAGGGTCGTATTTCCAGTGCCTGTGTTTCCAGTGCAATCCTGACTTGAGCATTGAGTAGAGTTCTAGACTATTAGAGTAAAAATTAATTCGTGAAAAAATTGAAACTTCAAAAAACCGCCATTTTCTCAAATTCTACAACTTCAAAAAAAAAAAACGCTTCGCGTAAGTGGCTTAAACGCTTTGCGATTACGCGAAAGCCAAGGAAAATAAGAAAAAAGTCGTTACACTATCCGTCAAATTTGACGTTTGACGCACATGTTGCGTTGTTTTCGTTTTCTTTTTTTCACTTATACAGTTTCTGTTTTACAGGTTGTGTGTGATTTGATGTTTATCTACAAAAATGACTGAAGATAATCAAAGCAGTGACAATGAAAGCCATCATGTGGAAGAAGAAGAACATCCAAAAACACAAAACGCTGATACCGAAGCAGAAACAGTGACGTTTAAAGATTTGGTAAGTGTCATTATTTTCCTCGAGTTTCTCACACAATATTGTTTTATTAATAATATAAGGACGATTATTAAATTATTATATTACTAAAGAAACTTCCTATGGCACACTTGATGTAGATTAAGAGCATAATTATAGTAAAACAAGGACCCGCAAATAATTTTTAGGTTATGTTGCAATTAATAAACAGCACGTTTTAATTCTCCCATACTTGCGTTCCAGGGCGTGGTAGACGTTTTATGCGAAGCGTGTGAAGAATTAAAATGGAAGAACCCATCAAAGATTCAAAAAGAATCTATTCCACTAGCTTTACAAGGGAAAGATATCATTGGTCTTGCGGAGACGGGGTCAGGTAAAACTGGTGCATTCGCGCTACCTATATTGCAGGCACTGTTGGAAAACCCGCAAAGATATTTTGCGCTGATATTGACCCCTACTCGGGAACTGGCATTTCAGATCTCAGAACAATTTGAGGCACTGGGTAAGTTCATTTATTATAAATATGGAAACTTTAATGTCTTGAATACATAGAAACTTTCATTGCCCTGTTAAAAGCCTTGGACCTCATAATAATTAAAGAGCTTCGGAACATAAACCAATTAATCTGATCAATTTTGAATCAGAGATAGATAAAGCGTTTATTTAGATCTACATACATACAGAACAGAAAAATATGTAATATAATAAAAAGAAAAAAACAGCCGAGTCACAGCACTGCTGAACACTCAGTTATGTATGTGTGCTGTAACTGTGCAAAAGGCCAGCATCGGTGTTTATTCCGGAGTAAACGGCTGATTTTCAGCTATAACCTGGAGGATGGTGCGGATATATATGGAAGATAATATAAATGTAATTAATGATAATATTTTTTTAGATTTGATTTAACTAATAATAATAATAATAATAAATATACATAACTTTGTTAATATTGTAACCAAATTATAAATTAAAAGTTCATTCAGCTTCATTGAATGGATTTTTCACATTGTGTTCAGATCCATTTATAAATACATGGACAAACATATTTTTAAAAGAGGATTTAGCAGTTGTTGTGCATACATTATTCAGCAAAATCGACAAAAAACTGCCATTTGGTATTAAAGGAACACAAATAGTCAAAATGTGACTTAGCAGATCAGATGATCTTCAATTGAGTATTCCCAGATAATGCTGGTTAAAATAACCACAGGTATTGCTGGTTTATTAAGATCTTCATTTTTTTCTAGAAGAGATGTGAAGTGAAATTTAATTGCTAATACCAACAATTGGAAATTTTATGTCCATTTCCGCCAGTGATGACGAACAAATTCATGATAACAATTATGCAAGACTTAAACTAGTTGATTAAAACAATATTTAATTTTAATTGAGTAGCACACTAGTTTAGTATTAACTTGCTATGTCTGTCTAAATGTATTGTATAGTGGGTATTGTGGGTGGTTGCCATTGTCAAACACTTACAAACATATTATACATTACAAACACTTATAAACATATTAATCTGTCATGTGTACAATCGTTAAAGCTTCAAAGTTTCACTAATGATTCTGACACTGTAGCGTCCTGAAGTGAAATTGTTGTGAACACACGTACGGACGGTAGGACGCGTGACTGATCAAGGGACTGTAGAATGTCCCTTCTAAAACTCTGGTTTTTAAAAATTTCCTATAATACTTCATCTCAAACTACTTCATACATCTTCTAAAACACCTGCTGCACACAATTTTTTCAGCCACAGAGTGGTGCATAATTGGAACATGCTACTAAGATGGTGTTTCTGCTGTCTCTTTTCATGTGTTCAAAAACAAGCTGGGCAACTGGCTATGAAAGAGTGAATTAGTGCTTAAAAAGTGAACCAAAACAAACAATATATATTTCAAAACTGTGTGATGTAGACATGCCAGCAAAAGCTGCTTGTCTATAAATAAATAAATAATTTCAGGTGCAAGTATAGGTGTTAAATGTGCAGTAATTGTGGGTGGTATGGACATGGTGGCACAGGCTCTGACACTGTCCAAAAAGCCACATGTCATAATCGCGACGCCCGGGCGGCTTGTTGACCACCTTGAGAACACTAAGGGATTCAATTTGAAAGCATTAAAGTACCTTGTAAGTTTATTACGTAACTAATTAGAACATATTGCATAGTATAATGAGTACAAAATAAAATATTTAATCTGTTCGTTCTTTGCTGTCTATTAAATATTTTATTAATTAAATTTTAAGCTGCATTCTAACCAGTGGATGGCAAGCCAAAAGACATTAAATTTATTAATGCATATTGTGTGCTATTGCTATTGAAATATGATACAAATTTCAATGCTCTGAGTAGCGTAGAGAAATTTACCACGATCCTCCGAGGTCGGTTTTGTTGTATTTATTAAAGAGAATAAGACATACTTTTGTAAATTTAATATCCTCTTCATTGTCATCCCCCAGTTTGCACTGGTATTACCTGCTGTCACTTTATAAAATAATTGTTTCTACCAGGTGATGGATGAAGCAGATCGCATTTTAAACATGGACTTTGAAGTGGAGGTGGATAAAATTCTCCGTGTAATTCCTCGCGAGCGAAGAACTTTCCTCTTTTCTGCCACCATGACAAAGAAAGTGCAGAAGCTACAGCGTGCATCGCTGCAGGACCCTGTAAAAGTCGAAGTGTCTACAAAGTACCAGACTGTTGAGAAACTGCAGCAGTACTATTTATTTATACCTGTTAAATATAAGGTTTGTGCTTCTTTCGTCTTAAAGACAGTTAAATAATGATTTCTCGCTACAATACACCCTTTACATGAACATTTCAAGTGTTGTACAAATAAAACTAGATGTTTTATGTTGAAAATGAATTTATTTTCTTCAATCTAAATCGCGTATATTTGTTTTATTAAACAAATCAACATTACGGACTTGGATTTCGGATTCGAAGAATTTGAAATAGAAATTGTAATAACCGTTGTAACTAAAGTTCTGTAAGGTGGTTTGCAATAATATTAGACATAACTAGTTGACGACTATCATTTCAGGCTGCCATGATCACGGGAGCTGTAAAGAGCGAGAAATGTTGATTTGTTTGAAGTAAACAAAATACGCGATTTAGATTTAAAAAAAAAATTGTTTCATTCCCAATTTGTAGGGATCGTAAACTCCTAAAACTCGATAGATGTTTTATAACTAACTTACATAGCAAGGGCATAATTCAGACTCAGCCAAAAGGTGCAAGTAACATGATGAAATAATATCTGTGTGAGGTTATTACAATCTTAAAAATATATGATTGTAAGTAATTGATAGATTCAGGCGTTACTTTGCGGAAGTCCAAGTTAGTAAAAATGGGAGTAAATTAATTTGGTATTCCACACACAACACAGACAGCCTCTGAGTAATGATCAGTAATGCTGAGTTTTCATCCTTTTTGTCCATATCACTGTTTTTTTCTTTTAATTGTTCGCTTATATTTGGTTTATGTGTTTTGTGGATTAATAAATGTCTTTTTATTTATTTTTATTTTATGCAATAAAACAATTTTTCCAGGATGTATACCTAGTTCACATTCTCAACGAGATGGCGGGCAACTCGTTCATAGTGTTCGTAGCAACTTGCGCGAACGCACTGCGCTGTGCTTTACTCCTGCGCAACTTGGGCCTCCCTGCGGTGCCGTTGCACGGGCAGATGTCGCAAAATAAACGTTTAGCTGCATTGAACAAGTTTAAAAGCAAAAATCGATCAATATTGATTTGTACCGATGTCGCTTCTAGGTGACTATTTTTTATTTATTTTAATATGTAAAGAAACTTTGCCTCCCGGAAGTCCTGTCCATTAATTTCCTTTTTAAATCAGAACAATTTAAACACATCCTTGGTTCTGGGCCTAACGAGGAGTTCTCATTTTAAACAAAACTTGTAGATCTAGTAAAACGAGCGATGGCTTCAGTGCGGGAACTAACGCTGGTTCGAGACAGCTGGTAGGGACCACTGGAATAGGCCGTCAGATCGACGAAATTTTTCTTTGTGTTAGATCTATTTATAATAATAACAAACTAGTTATTTTCAACAATGTATCATTTTCACAAAAAAAATTGTGAATATGATACATTGACTTACAATTATATGGACGTCGGGTCCGAACTTATAGGGCGTTAAAATCGTATACAGAGCGTCATTCACGCTTTAGTCTTCGTTTGTTCGACTGACAGCGAAGCAAGCAAAATTAGACAGTACTGCGATGACATTACAATTTAAATTCAACGTTTTAGCTTTTTCATATTCCTTTACATGTCACTATGTTTAAATAGGTTGACTTGGGACATTTTTTTCGTGGTTTTTGTATTAAACCCGTCGTCCATTTATTTGTAAGTCAATGATATGATAGTTAAAACATTATTACATTCAATAAAAGTACATGCATGTTCATAATCATTGTACACTTACATCGAGATTGTCTGTTGCAGTAACATTGGTAGGTATCTCCAATGAATTGTTGGTCATTTTCTGTTATTTTTGTAAACAGTCATATTTACTTACTAATATTATGCTCCCTGAATTTTGGAAAAAGAAGATAAAGACCCAAAAAACAAAACACGAAAAAAAAAACAATTTTGTGATAAAAAGATAAAGAAACAAAATAAAAACAACAGATCCATAGTGTTCAATGTTATGCAACTTCTTTCATTTATTATGTTAAGACAGTTATGTCTGTGTGGCCGAACGGTGACCGTGCCGGTTCTATGTGTGTCTATGGCACCCGCGTTACAGGGTTTCCCTAGAGCAGGGCTATGAGTGTGCGTTATTATTATTCGTAAACAGTTTTTTACGTTGAAAATTCGCCCTTGAAAAAGATTACATTTCTTACGCCACGTTTTTCCAGAGGTTTGGACATCCCCCACGTGGACGTAGTGATGAATCTGGACATCCCTTTGCACAGTAAGGATTACATCCATCGTGTCGGACGGACGGCGCGCGCCGGACGCGCTGGAAAAGCTATCACCTTTGTTTCTCAGGTAATTTTATAACAAAAATTGTTAACCGACTTCAAAAAAACTTCGACTCGACTGTATTTTTTTAATGTATGTTACGCGATAACTCGTTCATGAACCGATTTAATGATTTTTTTGTTGGAAAGAGTGTATCTCTGTATTGATCCCATTTAAATTTGAACAAATATTCCACGTCTAAGGGTGACAAACTAGAATAATTCCGGTTTCAATAAAACTTGGCAAATAGAATTATAATTCTACGAACTTTTGAGCTCAGTTCTGTTTTTATTAAAACCTCTACCTTGTGTTTGGGCTCAAATGACTCGTTTTGATGAGGACTTCCATATGCGTTTCAGTTGTAGTTGAGGGGACCGCGTCAACGAACACAGCGAAAGCGGATAGGCAAACTTATACGTGAGGTGCATTATACGTTTCCGGAATGAATAAGAAAAAAATACTATAAATGGTCAGAAATTAATTTATTGTTTGTCAAAATATTCTCCGTTAGCATTAATGCACTTTTTTATACGAATGAACCAACCTTGAAAACATTTATGCCACTTCTCCGTGACAATCTCTGAAACATATTTTTCATACTCTTCGACAGCCTCTTCAGGCGATGAAAATCGTTGACCGCGTAACTGGTTCTTAGTTTTTGGAAATAAATAAAAGTCACAAGGTGCCAGGTCGGGACTGTACGCGGGATGGCTCATAAGGTCAACGTTGTTCACCTTCAAAAATTCATTTGTCTGTCTGGCCGTGTGAGGAGAACTGACATTATCGTGGTGCAAGATGATACGGCGTTTACGGTTATTTTTACGATAACTTTCGGCAAACAAATGGTCGTGTACCAATCACTATTCACGGTACTACGAATCTTCAAAGCAACAGTAGCCACGTGTCCAGTTTTATTAAAAAAAGAAGTAATCATCCGCTTAGAGGCACTTTGTACGCGCGCCACTTTGGTTGGTTTCGGCTCATCTGGAAAGACCCATACGCTCGATTGCTGCTTTGTTTTGGGATCGTAACTATAAATCCTCGTTTCGTCACCTGTTACTATGTCCCACACCAAATTTGACGCCCCTTCGTTGGATCTGGTAGGCATGGCATTGCACCAAGTGACGCGATCCGTTTTTTGAGCCTCAGTCAAATTGTGTGGGATCCACCGAGAGCACAGCTTTTTCACACCCAAACGTTTGTGCAGTATTGATTGTATTTGACTCATGCCTACGCCTAAAGATGCCCGAATTTCATAGTATGTCACATGCCTGTCTGTTTTGATCATACGACGCACAGCATCGATGTTTTTGTTGTTCACATCAGTGGACGGGCGACCATCACAAAATTCGTCACTGAGTTTCACAAGACCTTTTGAATTCTGCAAACCAGCTATAAATAGTGCATGGTGCTTCATCGCCAAAAGCAGTTTGAAGCCGAGCGAAGCTCCGCTGGGCTGTTAAGTTACACTAAGTCTACGAAAATTTTCACGAGTTAAATCCATGGTGATGTAGACAACCAATTTCTAAAATGACGCCACAGTGTAAAAACAAGTGACAGTTAGATGAAACAAACTGTATTCTACAGCCAAAGAGTTCCATTTTCAAGTGTTGTAATTACTTTTTAAATATTGTTTATGTAAGTAGCCATTCCAGAAATGTATAGTGCGCCCTATGTATTAAACTTAGATACTTACATATACCCTAGACAAAAGGTACGAAGGATTTTTTGTATTCCCCCGTGTAGAGCTAACCTGAGTCGGCACTCGCCAAAATACTATTGGAATACAACTTCCTCACCGCTTCTGTCAATGTTGACATTTTCCATGACTCGCAACTGCGGCTCAAACGTAAGTTGTAGGGCTACTTCATGGAGGGTCTTGTTAATACTTTGTCTTAGAGGTACTAGTACTGTGCGTAAACTAGAGATGAGATTAACTGCTATGTTCGCATATCACCAAAAAAAAGTCAAAAAAACTTCCGAGGCTGGCTCCTTTATTATATTTTTTTTTTTCAATCTTGTATTCAGTACGACGTGGAATTATACCAGCGCATCGAGCAACTCATCGGCAAGCAACTGCCGCTGTACAAGACGGAGGAGAGCGAAGTCATGGTGCTGCAGGAGCGAGTCGCCGAAGCGCAGCGGCTTACTAAGATTGTGAGTAGAAACATGGACTCGAGGGGACTGCTTATCTCCATACTAAAGAATGTAGTGTCCGTCAGGATGGCTGGACCAAACGAGATGTACAAATCAAACTGTGCTCATTATTTATTACATATTTTCCACTATTTAGTACCTTTATTAACATATACCTTTGCGCTAACGGAAATATTAAATAAATAAAGTGGCCAGCCATTCTGGCGTCAGGTTGGCTGCACCACATTACGTTTTCCATGGTTCTGGTAGTATATAATTTCCTTTTTTTACATAACTATTCACTACCAAATTTCTACCTAAACTTTTTTTTTCCACTATTTTGGGAAACTTTATAAAAAATTAATTAAAAAATAATAATAAAACGCCTTAGCAAAAGGTATCTTCTAAAAAGACAGTTTATCTTCTCCGTGTAATTGCTTTATAAATAACTGATTATAATTCGTTCGCATTCGTTAATACCTACAAATTGAATTAACATTTGTAATAGTGAATTCAACTAGTAATTAATATAATAATTGTTATAAAATACTGCTTGCAAAGATAATCCAGAAACCATTTTTGGCATTTTCTAAGCGCCTGCAAAGGTATTGTTAGCAATTAATTACACGGAGAAGATAAACTATTAATTACACGGAGAAGATAAACTGTCTTTTAGAAGATACCTTTTGCAAAGGCGTTTTATAGAAGCTTCCTAAAATAGTGAAAAAAAAAGCATGTTTAGGTAGTGAATAGTTATATAAAAAAAAGTAAGTTATATACTGCTAGAAACATGAAAAACGTAAAGTGGTCCAGCCAACCTGACGTTAAAATGACTGGCCACTTTATTTCTTTAATATTTCCGTTACATATGTATATAAAGGTACTAAGTAGTAGTAAATAATGAGCACAATTTGATTTGTATACCTCGTTTGGTTCAGCCATCCTGACGGACACAAGATCGTAACTCTGAAAAAGGTCAAAATTCCGTCTTATGTCCAGATGGCATTGATCAATACCCTGGAAGTAGATTATATTATTTAATTGGCCGTAGATATCAAATAGTTCCTCTTTACTGTGAAGTAGAAGAAATGAGGCTTTTTTTCCTTGTAATATTATTCAAGTTTTACAAATATGCGTGTCAATAAATAACATTGAGTGTTATAAACGAATTTATAAAGTAACGGTTCCTAATATAAGTATAAAATGAATAGCCGGATCTCATAATGCGGGTTCTTAAGTCTTTCACTTGTGTTTGCGTTGGCTAGGTACACGGCGTAGAAATCTGCTTCCGCGCAAAGGCGTTCACGAGTCTTCCCAATTATATTTAGTCTTCCCCTTTGCCTTGCGGAGAGACTTGCGGCGCCTTGCCTTTGTTTGGGTTGTCGAACCGCCTGCTGCTCTGTGATTCGTCAGTGGTGCTGTCCTCTGCAAACGTTCCTTATTGCTTGCGTGGAAATATCAAGTTTGCTAGATATCAAACTCACTCGTGAACAGTCCTACTTGCGCGTACGCGACAAATCTCTGCATATGCGCGAAGCGACTCACGCAAGTGAGAGAGTTTGTTATCAATAGAAATTGAGTAGCTGCTTTGATAAAATTGCAGCTTGTCATTATAAGTTACAAAAATAGCTTTTTGCTTAGAATAATAACGCATAGAATGATAGTTTCATATCAAATGAACTGTCACAAGTGAGGTAAAAATCAAATTCATGTAGGCTAGTTTTAGTAGTAGGTTAATTTTCGGTTTTAGTGATAAAAATACAAGTTGAAACGCGTTACTTCCTTGTGGAATGTGATGTTAGTATCTATTTTATGTTTGTCTGACGTATTTTTACACTCATTTACCGCACATTTTTAGTTAAAATTCTTGAGCTGTCGCGGTGCAAGTTGACCTTGAGCACTGAAGGCCCGTCCCGCTCGTGTAGGCCCATTGGGCGCGCTTCAATTTGCCTCACTTAGCGTGTGCGGGCTAGGTTTCTATGCGTTATTATTCTAAGGCTATTTGGTACTCATCGCGACGTCTGGTGTACCAATAGGTACTAAATACCCGATTGTGCTGTATCGTGATTAGCAGCCCTCTTGTGTTATTGGTCCAAGATGATATTTAAGAGACTTCCACTAGTGTTAACATTCCCCTTACGAATGTATTAACATCTGCCTTACTTTTTTAGGAAATGAAAGAATTAGAAGACAAGAAGAGTTCAAAAGGCAGGAAGCGCGGCGCGGACTCTGACGATGACACTGAGGAGGCGGCTGGTGTACGCAAGCGCATCAAAGGGAAGCCTAAATACAATAAGATGAAGAAAAAACGCTGATGTTTATTTCAATATAAGCTTTAGTTTTATGTGAGCAGATGTTTTATTTCCGTTCTAAAGCATCTAATAAAACCGACGTAAACACGTAGGCTTTATGTCGATTTTGTACTGCATACTTGATTTGTTGTAGAAGAATGTTTGGTCAGCATAACTGCAGTCTCGGTTTCAAAAGATGTAGAGCATTTTTGAATTTAGTATCGGGTAAAAAATATTTTTGTAAATAATAATAAACAAAATATGTAAATGCTTTCTTACAGTTTATTCTACAATAAAACAGTCATTTCTTTCAATAAAAAAATAAATAAGAAAAAAAAAGAAATGCGTAAACGCGTCGCGCTCTAAACGGCGCCGGCGCAGTCTATAACCTCGCACTTACAGCTAAGCGTAAGAAGAAATCACAACATGTTTTAATTTTTTTTAATCGTTATTTATTATTTCTATACAAATAGAACTGTACAGATAATTTTTTAAATTATTATTTACCACATTTCATCTTCTCACGATAGACTTTTTACAAAAGTTAAAACTATCAACATTACGCACGGAATAGAGATCGTGCGCAGCTCGCAGTCGCGCCGCAGCTGCGGTCGCCGCGGCCGAGCCCCGCGACTCGTGCAACAATTCGGCTCAGCCACACATTTGCGCTCACTATGGAAAACTTCAACATTTGCTGTTTACGGAGCTCCCGATCCATCACCCACTGGCAGTATAAATCTATTGCGGTTTCGTTTACGTATCGAGAGCGGTAATATACTCTTTCACCCATAGGGCTGGATCTTGTAAAGAAAAAAATCACAAAAAAATAAGTACAAGTTTCCTTAATTTCGAATCTCACGATTTTTGGCAGTGTCACTTTGGGGAGATTTAGCTGTCCTCGTAATTTTAAATGCACTGTTGTAATAAAAAAAATGTTAGCAACTTAATTTTCTTTTATTTCTGATGGTGAAAAAGTGTATTAGTACCCTCACATATAGCATCACACTGGAGACCCTTACGGTAGCTATAGTAAAGCAAACTCCCTCACACCACTCAGCTATATCCTTGGAAGTCTTACGTGTACCTGCTTATTGCCAACTGTATAATATAATCCTTTGTAAAGGCACAAAAATAAGGTATAAAAACATTTAAAGTCATAATCCTAATATTGCCGAGTCAATCTGTACGCCATCAAGTGTAACGCAGTCATGTTGAATGGTATGAGGGAGTTGGCAAAATAAAGTCATTTCAAACTATGCCCGATTCCTATACAAAAGTTTAAAAACAAACCCCGGAACGCCCTTGAATACATTTTCAGTACATAGGACTTTCACTTACGTCAATAGGCACGCTGTAGCGTTGAGATACTAAGACTAGCATATTATTTAGTAGGACCACTTGAATACTATACAAAATTAATGGTAAACCCAACTGAAATAATTTAGTACTCTGTTGAGTTTACAATGATCAAAACTTGGTTAATAAGTCCTAAAAATTTAAATAGTATAATCATGCAGTCTAGTCTTTCGGTGGGAGGTGCCCACAAAAAGGCGTCCAAACACAGTATAAACTAAGTGATGTACGTGAGATCCTTCTACTAGTATCTAGCTGGGTATAGTATCCAAACGGTTGGTCGTTGATGGTGGAAGCGCGCAATCACCACAGCACAGAGTACGTGTTCAACACAACATATTTACAAAAATCTTCTACACAATTTGAGTTAGTATACTTTATTCATCTGTCGTTTGTACAAAAATTAGCATGATCACACAATTAACCATTCATAAGTGTGTCGTGTGGTGAAAGATGCGCTGCGACTACTTAGAGCCCTGTCTCGTCGGCAGACAACCGACCGTGTATCAGAGACAAGACTAGAAATTGTCGCGTCATCCAAGGAGGCCCCGGGTGCCCTATTCATATATCACATTTTACTTTTTTTTTATTAACAACCCATAAATGGCTGAACGAATGACAAGCTAACGCAGCTACGCGCCCAATTGACGGTAGGAAATTAATCACAATCGCGAGTTTACCTAATAAGAAAATAATTTCTATTGCTATCGAGTTTCTCGTTTCTTGTACATGAATTCCTATGTCTAAACGTAGTCTACGTCAGGCACAACTCTGGTTAGCGTGTCACCCTATAACAGTATCGCTTGTTTGTTTCGTGCCAGTGTGAATGAATCGATCTCTACAATACAACGTACCTGCCGGTAGCGCGGGACTATTATACAATTTATTAACGACACTTTCAACTTGATTATCTCGTATCAACAATCACAGAAACACGAACCGATTGTTCAAATACAAAAAATACTGTCAAGTAATGGAATCAACGCGATCACATGAGAAGCGAGCTGACTTGACAGCCTCGGCGCAACACTGGCAGAAACAAAGGTAGTACGAATCTCGGTGCGTCTACACAGTAGACTTCTGCCTATCACCAGGAACTAAAACGGCCCGATGTGATCGAGCGCGGCTGCCGCCTTTCACTGCACTGTCACTGAGTGTCCGAGCCTCAACATTGCACTGTCACTGCACTGACTGCACTGCCTGCACTAAGCACTGCACTGCCCCGGCGCACTAGAGTCCTCGCGCCGCCGCGAACTGCGCGACTTAAGTCCGTTCAATTCAAGTCCCGGTCCTCTAAGTACTTATACTCGAACGTGAAGCCTTCCTTTTTCCGCTGGCCCCACTTTTCGTAGTCGAAATAGATGTACGTGCCCTGGAACAACAACACAGTCTGTAAAGTCTAGTTTTAATATGATCTTTATAAGTAACTCCTCTCCTCTATAAGTATCTCCTCACATTCAAAAAGGCCTTTTTGTTTCAAACTGTCGTACAACTTATGCAAAAAATACCTTTCTCAGGCGATCATGTACTTTCTATAAGTGTCTCTATGATGTTGATGTTTGTAAATTCCTTAAATACATTTAAGAAAAAAGTGGGATAACTAACATTCTAGTGGTTCTAATTAGAGATGTGTCTAGTACTTGTTTGCTACTCGGTACTCAAGTGTACGCGGCCGTTTTTTTACTACTCGTACTCGGCCGAATAACTCGGTTCATGAGAAGAGTACTCGGTTAAAATAAAGCATTACAGCTATAGACATAATAAAGTAAAACCAACAATATATTTAAAAAATCAAAAGAGATTTATTACCAGAAATTCTAGACAATTGTACTCGTGTGGTATTTGGTTACTCGGTAAAACTTGTACTCGGCGCTTCTCTAGTTCTAATGCACATTTTTATTATATTATTATCTTTGGGTCTGTAATGTGAACACTTGCACAAATTAATACTATAGGTCTATTTTTATAGTGTTCTTAGATAATTGTTTGTATATAATAAAATAAAATAAAAATAAAATGCATTTAATTCGGACAACAGTGGATCCATAGAATGTTAGTATTACAAACAAACTTATATAACTATGTTAGTACGAAAACTTAAATGAAGGGAGGACCAGTGTCTAAATAGACCGCTGTCCCACCTATCAGCTACTCCGTTCAGGAGTCTGTGACGGCTAGCGCATATATAATTTACATATTTGTCTAATTGCACATTAAGTAGGCTATCCAGTACTCTAGCGACAATTGTAGCCAGAGAGATAGGTCTATAGTTCGTCTTGTCAGAAATGTCACCAAATGTATATGACTGTTTGTTACCGGAATAAATAAAATAAATGAAAAAAGTAACACAGCTGCATTTGTAGTAATTTGTTTGAAACTGTCAAGTTAACAGAGCAAGCTCCACTAGAAGCTTTTCTAGACGGTTGCGCGAATGCATACAGCAAGGTTCAGCTGTAGTTGTTGCATTGATTACAAATTCCATTTTATATATTCTTTATTGTACAAAGAAAAGACACAAGAAACACACGTTACAAAGGACATATACAAAGGTGAGCTTATCTCTATAAGAGATCTCTTCCAGCCAACCCTAGCCGTGGTGCAAAAAATGAAGTCTGCGGGACTAATTATGCAAGTAGTCGGGTGCTGGGTGAAATTACAGGCACATAAGACTTATGTCTCCAGGTGACGGGCGCAGTGGCAGTATCCCACAGATCTGCGATTTAAAGCTCTGAGTGGCACTGCAACTGTTACGGACAGGCATATCGCTTACCACCAGGCTCATGACTTGTTCTTCCCGTCACTTGGTATTATAAAAAAGAAAGTTACAGATGACTCAAAACTGAACATGATAATTTTTAACCTTCTAAAGAACAATCTTTAAAAAACGTCACGCAAACGAACCTGTTCATACTCCTCATTAATGACCTTCGGTTCCTCGTGCCGCTGGAACCACATCATGTACTTGGTGTGGAAGCGCCAGCTTTGCTTCTTAAGCGCCTTTGCCGCAAGGTACTGCGCCTTGGTTCCCTCCATGTAGTAAAACACGAAGAATAACGTCTCTGTCGACAGCCGCTGGAAGAACTCTACGGAGTCCGAGTGCGGTAAAAGCACCTGAAACGAAATTTAATATTATGTATTATTTACAAAGTTTTTTTCCAAAGTGATGACTTCACCAATGGAACCCCATGGCTGAAGTTCCCCTTTAAACGTAAGGAAATTATTACATATATATACTGGCATTTGGCCAGTTGTCACCATTCTGTGGTTGTCCTTGGGAATATGTATGTAAAGCTGCCATGGGCGGGTCGGGCGGATAATCGGTATTGAAATTAGTGCCAACTGATTTCAACATTTCCCTGAGCTCGTTTCCGGGACACACATATTTAAGTTTTTTTTAAATTTAGATTTAATTATTTTTTTTAAATTATTTCTCTAAATCCTGTAATTTTTTTGTTTAAAAATGAATGGTTTAACATATTATATTTTAAGTGTCTAGGATCATATTTTGTAAAGCTTTAACCCCACAGTATGTAGTTCTAAGTGAACTGTAATCCAAAAATGGTAAAATTAATAATAATAATAATTATTATTATATGAGATAGATATTAAATAACATTCTTTTGTTTTTAAATGTGTTTTATTCCTGCAAGAATTTTATTTAAGTTACGTACATTCGTCAATGTTTAGCATATCTGCCGTGTCAGGCGTAAAACAGCTTTGAATTTGTTTTTTTTTTTCCAACAACCACCTAACAAACACTTTTTGTCTAGGAGTTCCTTATAGTAGTAGAGTAGTAATTAGCTATCATACAATTCACGGAACTTGATTTTGCCACAGTGAATTATGGCTAGATACTGCATCTTAAAAAAATTTCGCGAGCGCTTTCTTTAAAACTAGGTTTCGTGATATGCATGAACGTGTGACACGGCGAAGCTGTAGTATATTATATATTGAAGTAGGTGCACAACCCAACCCGGTTTAGGCCAGCGTGGCGGGCTAGAGGAGACCCGTGCCCATCAGTGAGATGTACAATAGGGTAACGGCGTTATTTATGACTATTGTATAGTCTGTCCTTTTTGAAGATGGAATAAATTGACATTTGCGGGGTTGTCAGTTTACATAAAATTTTAAATAGTCACGTAGTTGTTGTCGACAGTTTTATCGATAGATTGTGAAAGAATGTAAAGTTTTGACAAAAAGTCTGAATTGTAAATGTTATTACATTAATGATGACTAACTGCGTTATTGCCTCCTTTATTCTTACTTTCACAGTTGGCCTACTAGTATCGAAAACAAATTTTTATTCATATACTTTTTCATAAGAATAGGTGGATTTGATTAAATGAATAATAATAAAAAACTTCAAAACATGTCTCATCTTCGCATTTTTAATAGTCCTTAATGTATATATGAACTTGCATAAATTGACAATTTAAATGAACCTATGCTGCCCATAGAATAATGGCCCGGTGATTGTTCAGATGAAACAAATTCGGCTATTTATTGTATAACGTGACCAATACTCAATCGATAATCGACTGCAATCACTATACTCTAGCCGAATTCGATGTAGAATGTTTAATAACAAAACCTTGCTAGGCAACAAATGATGGCATAGGAAAAGGACATTTTTTTCTTTGCCCTCGGCCTGCTAACATAATTGGAATTTAAATAGGTAAGTTGGTAATTGGGTTATGTAGAAGTAATACTTCCCTAGCCAATTATTATAAAGTTTACAAAATACCTATTGATACGTATGATTTAGGAATAAAAACAAGTGTTTGGCATCCTATTTAATATTTACTGCTAGATGGTAGGTAATGGTAGATGAAAAGAAACAAAATTGTAGTATTTTTTTTTATATTAATTTGCCACATATTATATCCTCCAGCATCTATTTCCGATTCTGAATTTCATTTACCACCAGAACTCAAATGTTTGCAATCTTTTCCTTCAAATCAAAAAAGTCACTAGGGATGGCACAGTTTTACAAATAATTAATTACTATAGTCCATTTGTTTAGGTACTTAATTGAATGTTAAAAAAATCTTGATACATCTTTTTATTGAAACACATGCTTTACAAATCAATAGGTATAAAAATAGGCATGCAATTTCATATGAAGCTAATTATTTGTATTTTGTATTTGAACGTAAGGCAAAATCATTTTATAAATGTATATTTCATTAAATAGGCATCTCAAGATTGTTTACATTTATTTAAGTACCTAAGCAGATGGACTATAGTCATATTGATGTAATTTTTAGAAGATTTGAAACTTCTGTTGAATAATATTCATTATAAACAAGACTTCAAGACTTAGTATTGACCATAATCTAGTTGAATTTTGCGGGAAAATATTAATTGTGGTAACTGTGAAAGAGTCTGAGATGAAAACCCTAAAAATCATGTTTTTGTTTGTTGACATTTATTCTACATCAAATTTGGCTAGAGTATAGCTACTTGCGGGCAACACTTCCGCGCAATGAACTGTCATTTTACTTCTAAAAAAAAAGACTATAGACTTTAAGCATATACAAATTATTTAATCACCTTAATAATCTACGGATATGTGTAGACGACATTACCTGGTTGTAGTAAAGGGGAGTCTGGCAGATGTTGCGCGGCAGGTAGAAGCGCGTGCGTTCCGAGTCGGAGGGATGCGGCATGTGGTAGAACGCTGCCTCCATCATCTGGAATTGGAGCTGGTGCTCCTGCACACGCCACATACAAAGTCAATACGCGTCTAAGGGCTCGAACACACATCGCTCATTGACACGAAGCATTTCCAAATACCTATGAGCTAGCTGTGAATGCGAGCGAGAGAGCATGATTTTAATGAGCATGTGTTTTCGCACCCTACCTATAAACGACCAATTTGTGTACGCATATATAGACTCCGGTTTTCTGAAGTGTTTGATAGGCTAAGAACTCACGGAGCGGTTTTCACCCGCGCCCGCCATGGCAAAGTCAAATAATCATTTATTCCTTAAATAAAATTTTATACTTGAAAACGTCATTTTTTTAAGCTACTGCTCGTTCACTGTGTTGACTTTCCGGAGAAGAACGACCAAAAAGCACTAGGAATAGCTCTTTTCAAATAAAGTTAAATGCTATGGAATACACTTTGAATCATATTTGTGTGGAATCTTTATCTAACACGTAGTCTTGGCTGGGGGATAGCTATATTATTTCAATACTGACGACACCGCAGGTTTGTGCGGTAACGTAACCGCCGCGATTGCGGAACAGATCGGAAACTCGTCCCCACCATGGACGTAAAATGAGTTGTAAGTGTGCTACTAAATTTTACAGACATCTAGATTTATATCCTCATTAAATTATTAGTAGCACTACCGTTCTGCCTTACCTATTTCTGCCGCCAAGCAATAATGTCAGTATTACTGTGTTCCGATTTTGAAGGGTAAGGGTGCTGGTGAAATTACAGGCACATGGGACTTGTCAACTTATGTCTCTGGGTGTCGGGCGTACTGGTAGTGCCATTCAGATCTTTGTGATTCAAAGCTCCGAGTGGCATTGCAACTGTTATGGACAGGCGTGTAGCTTACGCCTGATGGTAGGTCACGCCTTGTTCGTCCCATCACTTGACAGTATATAAAAAAAATTGTTAACCACAAATTACGCCCAAACTCACGAGAGAAATAAAAGGTAATACTAATATTTCTCCCGGCCCGGGAATCGAACCCGGGACCTCTGCGTGGCAGTCCAGCATGGTAACCGTTCGGCTACGGAGACAGTTATCATTCACATCACAAAACATTCTACGGAAGCCGCGGTCCCGCAGCCACGGCGGCCGCGGGTGAAAACCGCGAGTTCTTAGATTTTGGCAATTCAGAAAACCAAATAAACTTATCAGTTTAACGACATTCGTTAGAGATGCAAGGTTGTTAGAAATAGGAGATGATTTTTGGCATTTTTGAATAGCTTAGTTAACTAGTCAAAATAAACCCCTTTGTTGTGTCACTTTGTAACAGACTTTCGCGATTATTGACTAAATAATTATCACTAGTTACAGTTTTCTTACCACAGTGTGAATTCTTATTTTCCCAATACTTTGGAACGGTACTCCATCGTCACACTTGAGAAATACGGAGAAAACAATTAGTCATACCATGGCAACTAGTGATAATGACTAGTGATGCAACAGGACTTAGTTCTGCTTCCGTAATAAAGGAAATCCCGCACGTTTTTTCACATGTTTCTTTTTCATATGTTAATGGGAAGTTTACAACGTTTGCAATGGCGCGCGTTTTTTCGCAGCTTTGTTTTAAGCACAATTTATGAAACCAAAACTAAGCCTTGTTTGGAACTATTTCGTTGAGATTTTAAGCGTGTAACACACGGGTCGGGACCACGGCGGGTCTAATTCCATGTATTTATATGGACGATAACACACCGAGCGCGCCCGCTCTCTGTGTATTTCACGCTTTATTGTGTTTACGCTTCCGCATCCGCTTCCGTTTACGCTAAGATTTCTCTTTAACATCCGTTTCTGTTTCCGTTATTGACACTTCCGTTGAATCACTAATAATGACTTTGTCACAAGCTTGGAGACGAGAGCTTCGCGATGCAAGATGTGGGTGCGGTACCAACCGAGCTAAGCGGCAGCGGGCCGAGGGGCGCCACGCCGAGTAAGGGAGGAATGTGCGCCTGCGCCACCGCCACGCCCGCAGACCCCACGCCCACGCCTAAGCGCCGCGCACTCTGCAACACACCAATTTCCATAAACTTCTCATAAACGGATTGCTGTTTTTCTTCATTGGCACATCCTCGATTAAAAGTACTGTAGAAATTTATTTTTTTTCTACAAATACTGTAGAAAAAAAATAAATTATTTTTGTTCTATCAGTTAAGCTATTTTTTTATATTATTTTCTATGTTTATTGTTCCTAATATTTCGACTGAAGGACTTGTATGAAAAAAAAAAGTATATTTTACGACCTCTGTAGTAGAGCGGCTTGCACATCGGTTTTCATGGTGTCGCAATCTCTGAGATCCCGGGTTCGATCCCCGGTTAGGAAAACTAACCTTTCTATTAATGTCGCAGATCTGGGTGTATGTGGTAACATCGTTGTTTCAGACTTCCATAACAGAAGTGTTTTAGTTACTTACTTTGAAATCAAAGCAATACTTTAAACTGTTACTTAGTGTTATTATGATGTTCATGATTATAGTGGTGAACACTCAGCTCAACAATCTGGTGCAGCAAGCGAGTAGCCAGATACAGACGAAAAGTGCAAATCAGCAATGCAGAATTTTTAATTCTTTTTGTTTACATAACTTAGTTTTATTTTATACCAGTAATCATAACTTTGAAAGGGTGTAGTGCTTCTATGGTTTTGCAATACGAAATAGATCTGGCGTTAGTGTTTGTTCCTGTTGTGTATTTGTGTGTGCATGTATGCAAGTTACGGCCTATCGCAGCTTACAATAAGTAAGTCTACAACAACCTGGCTTTACTACCCTTCCAGTCGGTATTTGTGAATTCCGATGGATTTTAATCATTGCTTTAGAATCATTGACCTAACAACAAATGGACATCGGGTCTAATACAAAAACCACGAAAAAATGTCTGAGGTTAACCTATACAAACGTAGTGACATGTAATGAAATATAAAAAACTAAAACATTTAATTTAAATTGTAAAGTCATTACAGTACTGCCTAAATTTGCTTACAACAATTTAAAGGCCCAAAAACACCATATTCAGCTTCTACTGGAAACTTAACAAAATGCACCATATTTAGCTTCGACTGAAAATTACTTGAACACAAGAGTAATAAGTAAGTAGTAAGTAAGTAGCCTTTCTCGTAAATATTAATAAATTTTTTAATGTATATTATTATGTCGAATTTTGTACAAATTCACTTAAAGGTATAATAAAGAGTTGGGCAGATACATACATACAAATGTGAAAATAAGCGTGTACTATAAGAAATGTACCGATATTACAACTAAATGTAAACTCAAATTCCGATTTATAACAAAACTGTTACGCTTTCGATAATTTTGATGCTTTTTACATAGACAAAAATAGCTTTTGTTTTGTAATGTTTGTAAAAACACATGAAAATTCGAGCTAATGTTATTTCGGGCAAATGTATTTTCTGACTTCTGCCGTAAAACGAGTACAACAATATTTTGTTAGTTATTGCTAACGTTTAACAAAAAAATCATTTTAAAAATAGGATTAAAATCAAAGCAACTCTACAGTTTCTTTGTTCTAAATATTTCAATCGCTTGTAGTTCGAATAATTCAAAATGACCAAGAAGTTTATATAAGCTTCTTGAAATTGACGTAATGGGTCTCTTTCCACTTTTTGCGCATGCAATGTGTAGAAACAGGACAGTTAGCTATTTGATTATTTTGTGTGCTTTTGTAATTTATATTGACGATTCATTTATATATAAATCAAATACTATAAAACTGCACAAAATAACACTTTTAAATGTTATAATATATAATTGTTTAGTGAAAATATGACACAATATCCTGTTTTTACACTTTACTGCAGTAATTTTTACAAATTATTATTATTGGTACTGAATAATTGACAACCGCGCTGACAGTTGAACAAACAAAGACTTACTACTTACTTAAGATTAACTGCCTCCGTGGCCGAACGGTTACCATGCCGGACTGCCACGCAGAGGTCCCAGGTTCGATTCCCGGGCCGAGAGAAATAGTTGTATGGCCTACAATTATTTCTCTCGTGAGTTTGGGTGTAATTTGTGGTTGTCTATGTGTGTGTCCATGGCACCCGCGACACAGGGTTTCCCTAGTGCGGGGCTATGTTGAGTGTGTGCGTTATATATTATATATTATATTATATATTATATAAAGACTGTTGCGCGATTGACGCTCTGTATGCGATTTTAACGCCCTACAGGTGCGGACACTCTTTAGCGCGAACCCGACGTCCATTTATTGGTAGGTCAATGTTTAGAATGTTAAAAATAATGCAAAATGGTTAAACACACTAAGTTATACTGTCCTATTTTTCACTTAGCATAATATATTTTATTTGACCTTAAAAACGTTTGCTGAATCAGAAAAATGACGGTCCGAAACCGAAAAGAAATTATTCTCTAGTACTAGCGATATTCGTCATTTCTCGATTAGAATCGAGATCCGAAGAGGGTCCGAGTTTTCTATACTTGTAGTCTCTGATTCGAACGAATACGAATCGTGTGCATTTGATTTTAAATGCCCGATTAAAACCTCATTCTCTTTAAAACGCTGTGTAGTAAAAGTGACCAGGAGAGGTGGCGCGCTCAAGGGGAGGCGTACGTCCAGCAGTGGATACGTGTAAGTTACGGAATCGCTCTGTTAATATAACATTGTATTAACTCAAAAAGAGAACTTTCTCAGAATTGATGAAAAACGAATTACTCATTTCCCGCAAAAAATCATTAAAATTGATACGTTATAGTTTATTATAGACACTTAAATAATTACTCAAATATATTTAAAAGTAAAATGGAAAAAATAATTTCATGATTTCAATAAGGATTATTTTGGCCTGAACTAGCTCACATAAAGTGTTTCTTACAATATTCTAACGACGGTTTTTTTTGACGTGTAGAGAATATATTTTACGTTCAGTAATGATATCACACTGCTATTACAATAGTGCTACAACTCAAAATATGTGAAATTCAATATTATATCATTACTGAACGTAAAATTTGATTCTCTACACGTCAATAAAACCGTCGTTAGAATATTGTGAGAAATAATTAAAAGATACTATAAGTCTACTTAACTCGTAATGAGTTACACTTTATGTGATCTATTTCTGGCCAAAATAGTCCTTACACAAATATGTGAAATATTTTTTCCATTTTATTTCTAATTATATTTGACAGGTAGAAAATTGTCTGTAATAAACTATAACCTATACATAAATTTTAATGATCTTTAACGGAAAGCGAGTAATTTCTGAGAAAATACACTTTTTACACGATATTAAATTTCACATATTTTGAGTTACGACACCTGTAATGGCAGTGCGATATCACGACAGACGCTAGTTGGGGTGGGAGCGACGGGTACCTGCGGCTGCGCCGCGTCGAGGCCCGCTCGCTGCACGGCCTCCTGCGCCATGGCCTTGAGCGAGGCGGCGGCGGGCGCGGGCTGCGGCGCGGCCAGCGGCGCCGGCGTGGGCGCGCCGCTGCCCGCCACGGAGCTGCCCGCCGACAGCGCCGGCACCAGCGACGGCGTCGACGACGCTTCGCTCACTCGCCCACTGCGCACACATCGTTACACCGTTACTTTCATTCTAAGCCAGTGGTGGAACTTGTTGGACTCGTTCCGCTTCTTCTCTATTGCCGCGATCGCTAATCCGTCCGCCGAGCTTATGACGAATCCAGGAGATTCCCGGAGGGGCCTACACCTAACAACATACAAGTGTGTAAGTGGGAGTTTTGCGAAAAACCGGACGGACGGTATTTTAGGTGCACTGACTTGTTGACGGTGTGTTGCGGCGTGTGGTGCGCCTGCGGCTGCGATGGTCCGTTCACTGTGAGCGGCGACGGCGCCTCCGCGCACACCGCCGCGTTGCTTGTCACCGTCGCCACGCTGCCCACCGGGTTCTTCGACGCCTGGGAACGAAAACGTGTCATCAAAGTACAGGGTTACCCTAGTTTGGCAACTGATTGTACGTCCTGCCCATTTTTTTTCTCAGTTTATGTACAACTCATAATTTGTGTGTCTGTTTGTGTCACCTTTAATACATGTATTACTGTTGTACCGAATAAATTATTATTATTGTTACGGATATCTATTTTAGACTGTCGCCTCTCCCGAGGCCTAAAAGATAAATTTTGACAGGCATTGGCACAGTCGGCCGGTGTCAGGTTTCTGTCATCTGATCACGTAGCAGTAGAGCTCCTTGTGAAAGAGTTCGTCCAGGGAAGTACTGCCACCTTACTTATTTTTGCCGCCAAGCAGAAATGTGAGCGTAACTGCATTCTGAAGGGTAAGGGTGCTGGTGAAATTACAGACACATGGGGCTTGTCAACTTGTCTCAGGGTGACGGGCGCAGTGGCAGGTCCAATCAGATCTGTGCGTTGTAAAGTGAACTTCTATACAGTGTCATTTAAACTATTTATCAACTCAACATCACGTCAGAAAGCACTTTTCATTTTCACTCAGCCAGTCGGTCAATGTTTGTGGCGTTTGACCATAGAGAATACTTAATGATCACTCACGGGCTGATGCGGCGGCTGTGGCTGCGGCGGCAAGTGCGGCGCGGGGTGCGCGTGCGCCACCACCGGACCATTCTCCACTATTGCTGTAAAAAGACATCCAAACATTCAGTATACAATTAAAAAGCAAAATTTTCATTATTTAGATACATAGTTAAAGTGTTTCTAAGGGTAAACAAAATAATACTATTTATATCACATACATCTTGTCCTTTACTTAAAAGTTTTTGAACGGAAATTCTGAAGTAATATTTCAATATATTCAGTATTAAAGAGCAATCATCATCATCTAAACCCATTCATACATCTCACTGCTGGGCACGCTGGCCCGATGCGGGTTGGGGCCTTAGCACGTTTTCCGATAGTTATGAACCCTTCTTCCACGTGCAGGTTTCACGAGGAAAAGCTCATGGTAAATTTCAAATAAAATTTCGCAGATAACTTCTGAGAAAGTCAGAGGTGCGAGATTCGAACCCACGGCCTCTGCTTGAGAGGCGGTATGTCAAACTATTAGGCTAACACGGCTTAGGTATAAAAGATTTTTTTTTATATTTATTTATTTATTTATTTGCATTCCATAATGTACATTACATCTGTAATGTAATCTGTTTTACATATATTGAGATCAAATTATGGACCCTGAACAGGGCACAGCAAATAGTAGAAGAGAGGACTAGTCTCATAATTGTTACACTTACTAATATATAATTTGATATATACCAACGCCAACAGCTTTATATTATTATATTTATTATCGACTAGTTACTAAATTCAGATACCAAATTTATCTTCTAAAAACTCTTTTACATTATAATAACTTTTATTTATGAGAAAATTCTTTAAGTTTTTAAAGAAAATCTTGTTATTTTGTTAATTTTTTATAATTTCTGGAAGATTGTTATATATTTTTATTGACATGGTGTATGGACTAGATAAATGCATATTTAATCTTGAATATGGTAGTACTAATCTGTTTATATTTCGTAATGTATATTTAGTGGGGATGTCTTTACGGTTTTTATATAAGTCTTGATGGTTTCGTACAAATTTACAAACTTGTAGTATATAGATACATGGGAGAGTCAGGATTTCATGTTTATATTACCAAGCGACGGGATGAACAAGTCGTGTGCCTGGTGGTAAGCGACACGTCTATCCATAACAGTTGCAGTGCCCAGTGCTACTCAGAGCTTTGCGATAAATCTGTTTGGCACTGCAATAGCCATGGCTACGCGTGACGCTTTCCACCAGGCGCACGACTTGTTCGTTGCATCACAAGAGATCTTTTAAAAAACCAAAAATGTTGTGTCCACTAGTATTGTAAGTGACGAAATAGTCTACTCTTGTTTTTATAAATAACTGCCTCCGTGGCCGAACGGTTACCATAACGGACTACCACGCAGAGGTCCCAGTTTCGATTCCCGGGTCGAAAGAAATATTTGTATGGCCTACATTTATTTCTCTCGAGAGTTTGGGTGTAACTCAACCTAGTCGCTAGTGCGGGGCTGTTGAGTGTGTGCGTTATTATTATTACTATAATAATAGACACACACTTAGTCACAATTTCACCTGATATGATGTGACGATGTACGCTTAAAAATGCCTATTCACTCTAGTCTTGAATAGCCCCAAATTGTAATTTTCCGGAAACATAGAGTATTCCATTCTTGTGCCGTACGCACCAGAAAGGAGGAAGCAAAACGCTTAGTAGTTAATGAGGAACGGTGAGGATGGAACTAAATTGAAAAGGTCCTGCGCACACTTCCCGAAATGTATCCGATAGAAATATTCAATTCTGGAGGTCTACTCTCAATCTCCGTCCGAAACAATTACTGCCAAATAAGCAATACTTGACCAAATGAAAAGACGCGTGATGCGAATGAAGCTTCATACTTGATACTTGTCTTTTAACTTTGTCGAATACTACTTATTTGACAGCATTGTTTCGGACGGATGTCGGACGTAGATCGATCAGTTAAAATATTGCATCGTTATGACTAACTTGATATTGTATAACAATTGTCTAATTTCACGACCGTGTTGGTGTAAATACACTCGAGGTCGTCGAGGACCACGTGGGGTGAGTCAGTGCAGTCATTGACTGATGCATCTTAACTGGACACGTGTTCTGTGACTCATTGTTGCCTTAAACGATGATTGTTTACGTTTAACTTTTTTGTTAGACGCACGCTGAATACACTTTGTTCACTTACAAATAAATTTCAATAAAAAATTACATATTCAAAAACGTATATTATTTTATGTAACAAATAGTTATTTATTAATTTTTTATTGAATTGATATTCAATTATTTTTTGTGAAATTACTCCACTAGTTTGTTATAATTATTAATACAAAGATCGAACACTCAGAAAAAACACACAGAAAAAATTCCTTCGATCCGGTCGGATTATCGAATTTTTTTATGTGCTTGCGTCGTGTCTTTGTACTTGGTCTTTCAACGACCTTTTAGTCGTAGCGCCATCTATGAGAAATCTTTGACAGATTTATCACCCAGTTAGTACCTTTACAGCTACCAGTCCTGGCGAGAGATGTCGCTATTCACTGTATTAATTAAATTTTTATTGAATTGATATTCAATTATTTTTTGTGAAATTACTCCACTAGCTTGTTATAATTATTAATACAAAGATCGTATATTATTTTATGTAACAAATAGTTATTTGTTATGCAAGGCTGCCAGGTTGTTTTTCGATGCGAGTGCTAGTAATGAAATCTGATCAAGCTAAGGAAGCTAAGAACTGTAATCCTGAGCGTAGCGAGGGTTTCAAGGCACCAGGCGCAAAACAACTTTGCTGCCGAGCGAAACACCACTTTTCATCTCACTATAGTGAGGAAAATGATAGATGAAAGAAAAACATGTGAAAACAAATCAGTTTTAATAAACAAAATTATTTATCGTTGTCAATTTAATATCAACAATAATAAGAATAAAATATACTAAACGGATTTATATTACATATATACTGTACGACAATTCGCGTAGTTGAACGTGGCATTATGTTTTTTTTCGTCGAAAGAAAAAGTTAGGTAGACCACAGTCCATCGTGAAGTTCGAATTCAAAAACCTTTTCCACGTTAGTGAGGTGAAAAAAATATTGGATATTTTTTTTAACTTTTTTTTTCGGGGTTAACATGTAACAGGGTAATAAAGATTTGATATTAAAAATTACAAGACTCGGTAAACATAAATTTATAAGTATGAGGAAAAGAAACGGAACAAGCCCAAAAGAGCCTGTATATGTATATCCAATGCTTTAAAAACAATTAAATTATATGAGGTTTTACATCATTTACTCAATACACACGTTCTTTCGCTTCGAGGATTTCAATGGGAATGGAGACGGAACGAACCAAAACGTAAGAATAATGAAGAAATTGAATTCGAGAACGATTCAAAATTTGAAAAGTAAGTGGCCAGGAATCAGTAAAGAAGGTGAAACAGGTGGGATGATGATGAAGGAGGTCGCATCTTCACAATTGTAGTAGGAATACGACCGAAACCGTTCTTTGGTGATAAATAGTGATCGGAATGTGTAGGGTCTACCTACTACGCATCTTAAATAACGTCAATTTTGAATCTACTTCAATGATTTCCCGAATCCCGAAAAAATCCGGAACAAAAAAATGTAGACGTAAGGCAGTCTCCACTTTCTGTCTCTGTTCCTCGAACTTTAGGTAAATAAAGTCTGCCTAGTTCGATCACTGGTGAACAATAAACAAAACACACAAATATTTTGCACTAACATGCATTTTTTATATAAAAACAGATTTTTCTTTTCAGCCCATAATTCCTAGTACCCACAGTACTACTATTTTATCTAACCATAATTAGGTCATTTCTGTACGACGTGGGTTATGGTTTTTATACTTTGGTGGACATGATCTTATCGAAAGATGTCCAGGAAATACAGTAATTTCAAATAGAAATTAAAATTCCACGTTATGAGGATATTTAATTTCTATTAAAGTGCCACCATGGCAATTGACATTTAACACTTGATTATGGTTTCGTTTTTGACCGAATTCAAAAAAGGGGGTGATTCTCAATTCGAATGTATTCTTTGTTTTTTTTTTACATGTATGTTACGCGATAACTCCGCGATAATTTGTGAATCGATTTTAATGATTATTTTTTTGTTAGAAACAGGGTTCCTCAGTATTGGTCCCATTAAAATGTTAAGAAAATATTCCACCTCTAAGGGTGGCAAACTAGAATAATTCCGGGTGGCAATAAATACGGTTTCGCGCACTTTCTGATGACCGATTTGAATTTTTTCTTATTGTACTAGAACACCAAATTTTATCAACTCATTTAAATTGTTAACTCATACTCTGTGTGGAAATTTTATGACGCCTTGTATTTCTCGCTAAGTGAATGTGTATTATTTTGACAAATAAATATCTTAAACCATTTTTTTTTAAATTATGGCAGGAGGGATTCGTAAATTGAGACAAAGTAAAAGCTACGCAGGATGTCGAAATTTTTAGGAGAATTAATTAATCAAAGAGATAAATAGTTTGGAAGAAATGACAATATAGATTTAAATACGTGGCATCAACCATAAATGCCATTTAGTTTGATGCAAATATGCAAGTACTACAAAATTCTGCTTTTTTTTCATATACTTATTGTGTCAGATATGTTGGAAATATTCTTGGTTGAAGATACCATCAGTAAAATACAGCAAGGTAATGGTAATGACTGAGGACGAAAAGCGTTATTGGACTCTTGGTTCCTAACCATGTAAGAACACGGATGTGTTTATGGTTCAAGGACCGTTCGCATATAGAGTCGAAGTAAGAAAAAAATATATCGCTTTTGCGGTAAAATACAGATTTAACAGCAAAAAGTGTGGTGTTGACTTAACTATGAAATTTATTTGCAAAAACAGACAGCATGCATTCCTTCTTTTTTCCATAGAGATCAAAATGCTTATTGACAGAGTAATAACATTAGAGTTCTTCAAATATGAGTAGTCAAAAAAACAAACAAAAAAAAAAAACAAAAACAATATTATTAATTTTATTTTTCGGAATTTTTGCAATGCCAATTATGTCACTATTTGTAACGGACCGTTTGGGTCCTCCTGAGCGCATTAAAAAACAAAAAACAAATTTTGATCTTTGTAACTTATTTAAGTTTTTTAATTAGTCGTCTTGTGACTTAACAAACTACGTAATTGTATTTATTAACATAAAACTCCGATTTTAAATATAAATTCAAAAGGACTTAAGCTATTGTTTGGCTCTTTTTGGTATTAAAATTGGAATGTTTATACGTGAAAAGCCTTATTCTAAAAAGCGAGTTTAAATAATTTTTTTTCATGTTTTATATAATTAATTTCAAAGTTACTGAAAGGCGGAAAAACTTAGTCCTGCAATTACGTTAAGAACAATAGAACAAATAAGCCGTAGAAGTTTGAACGACGCCACTCGCCCACGTGACGGCGGACAATGGATACACGCAAACAAACTTGCACAACAAACTTCAACCAAAACACACCAGCACAACTTTTTGTAATTACCGCAACAGCACAAACAACAACAATTACGTAACAAACTTAAAAGTTTGAGAATATTGCTGAAAATTCTAACTACGCAACAAGACATACCCAGCGAGAGAAATCGAGGTGAAAACCAAAAACATGCACGTTACACACTCGTGTTTTACCATCGTCCATTGTTATCCCGTATTTTCACGGGGAAACATGTTTTGTTTTTTATTTTCTTTATATTTTTAAATTTTAGGCACGGGGTCGTGTGGTGGACTGCTCGTTTCGACTGACTGTCATCGCTGGCACATGGCCAATGTTCTGTGCTTGTTCAGTTATTGGCAGGATGCCAGTTCGGCGTCGTTATGCTATTGTAGAAACTCATTCACGGATGATAAGCCGCTTGTAAACAATGAGTACGTTATCGCGTAGTCGATAAGGTGTTTGTTTGTTTTTTTTTTACTATAATACGGAATCAGTAATTCGCTACGGTCGCCGTTATCAGTAATACGTTTTAAGTCACTAAGCGGGCCATTTGTAAAGACTGTAAACACACATTAATAATATTGAAGGAATGTTTTTTTCTCGAGGTTTATTATGACGTATATCGAATGATATATTTATTAATTCTTTGGCACGAATATCACAAGCAGAATCACTTATAGTCTCTACTATTTGAAATAATATTTCTAAACTATGAACGTGAACAAATGTTATACAAAGAGCAACCCCTAGAGTTTCTTAATTGTCCCTTTAAGGGAAATCTACCTTACGAACGAGTCATCTTCTTCTTTTTGTCGAGTCAATGACAAAAACCAAGAAAATACCAAATCAGTGCGATATTTCTTTGGCCCAGTAAGCAGGCACCTCTCTGCTCCTATCTGATGCCTTTAACAGGACTTCGCGGGTGCATCTGGTTGCCAAATTCGGCACGGGAGCAAGTGAGACATCCGACGTGGGAGATCCGCGGAGATATATCCCCATTTCACCATGTTGTCTTCACATTGGCCAATTTGTGACCTGAGACGATTCAGGGATTTCCACATTGACCATAGTAATTCGTGCCCGGGGGAAGACTTTCGGCCTTGGGTGGTAAAGTCAAGAGGAGCAGCGAGTTTGGCTCGCCAAAGTTTCCGCCTAGCGTCTGTTGGGCTACCTTCTATGGCGGTGGTATTTTGAAGGAAGCTCTTATGGCTTGATTGTCGTGCTGGTGGGAGCTTGGAGCCGAATAAAGGATGTTTTAGAAAGCGTAGTGGCGTCTTTGAAAAAACAAACCCGCCATTTGCAAAGTCCATAATTGTTGTTTGTATAACATTATATTTATTTTCTCGAAAATATGATGAAAATCATTGTATGTATCACGGACGGTAAAAAGTACAAAACTCGAGTTATTGAAGACCTTAGCCTTCGGCTTCGGGCTTCTAATAGTCACTCGTTAGTGATTTCATATTTACCGTATACACAATGTACTATTTTAATTAGAACTTCTGTGTAGTTAGAATTTGTTGATCTTTATTAACAAATCCATCTAAAGAAAACTGTTTTTAATAACGTGCCAGAAAACCACACTGACCAAACCACACATTTGCCAGGTCTCAAACTAGGAAATTCCCTATATTATGAGTACAAGAGCAACGGAATTCAGTCAAGGCATGTTCCAGTACACCCAGACCAGAAGCAATTTAGTCAAATTCATTTCCCAACCCCGGGACCACCTCATCCAGCGGTCATAGAATAAGCCGTTGGGCAAACGAGACCGTCAATAACACTCGGACGTACAAAGATTACATTATAGTTGTAAAAATGTATGATATACATATATATGATATATTGTATGATAATAAACACCACTTAGGCTGCTAACAGGTTGAAGTCGGTTTCGACTGCATGCAGTTAATCTGTTAGCAGCCGTAGCATTTAAGCTACGGCTCAAGATTGTTATACAGTCCGAATCAATAAAATATTGGTTCACTCGTGATAGTGTTATCTTGGTGTCCTCCAAGATGGCGATGATAAAAGTGCATTGGTTTGTATTAATAAGACTATTAACACTGGTGAAAGCTTGAGACTCATCTCGAGATCCGAGTGACATCTGTGATACACACTTAATATCGAACTTAGAAACTCCTTCCTAATACGGTCCTGTGTTATTAGGCAAGAAATACAATGCTGTTTAAGGAAAACGTTCCTTACGTGAAGAAATATTGCACGGCAAATACGAAAATAACAATTTAAACTGCCTCAGTGGCCGAACGGTTACCATGCCGGAATGCCACGCAGAGGTTAGATTGCCGGGCCGGGAGAAATAGTTGTATGGCCTACAGTTATTTCTCTCGTAAGTTTGGGTGTAATTTGTGGTTGTCTATGTGTGTGTCCATGGCACCCGCGGCACAGGGTTTCCCTAGTGCGGGGCCATGTTGAGTGTGTGCGTTATTATTATTTATATATTAATTAAGAGCGTAGTCACAATGTGGCAACAGAGGCTGGTTCGAGGAGCCAGTCAATACAAACTAGTGGAATATTTCAAAAATAAATAAATATGACATATATTATATACATAAATAAACATTTTATAAAATAAATACGATTAACCGACCAATTACTAAACAGCAGGAGGTGGGAAACGAACGTCCAAAATTAGTACTGAGACTGAACGTCGCAAGCGCATGTTGAACATTCTAATTAATCCTTCATAATTTGGATCACACACCTGTATTATTTGTAGTCTTGTGCGCAGTATGATGATGCGGCGTGTGCGGATGCGGCGCATGCGTCGTATGTGTCGCGTGCGTCACATGCGTTGGATGCGGTACGTGCGTGTGTACCGTGTGGTGTGGCGGTGACGGTGCACCCGCCTTGCTTGGAGTTGACGTACCAGATACGCCCGAGTTGTTTATACTGCAACCACAATATTATGTTAACGCTGTTATCAATGACCAATATTGGATAACCGAATGGAAGGCTTTCTAGATTAGTGGCTAATCTCAAAAGCATCTAATTCACCAGAAAGGTAGTTTAAAAAACCTGAGATGTGTCACCGACCCCAAATTACCACCTCTCAACGTTGTCATGTGATTATTTTAACCGATGAAAAGCTCGGTGTCCCATTCAAAGTAAAATGCATCATTTAGAAGTGAAAAAAGGAACTATCTTAGATTTAACCACTGTTCCTGACATGCAACGAAATATGTTTAGTTTTCAATGTAATTTCAAATCACTTATTTGTGACCCCTGCACGTACAACGCTGCACAAAGTACACACGAATGTATAGCGTAGGAAAACGCATCTGCGTCAGTTAGAATATCATAAAAAAATTAAGTAAATGGCAATAAACTCACCTATTTGTAGAGACTGCGGAGTTATTGAGCAAGGAACTGACATTGGACGAGTTATTACTGACTGCGCTCGCGTTCACCGCGCGCACCGCCATCGGTTTCACCGGCTGCACAATTGATATCGATTATTGCCATTTATTATCACCAACATTATCGATTATTATCTGACCATTATCGATTATCATCGTTCACTATCGATTATCATTGTTCACTATCTAACCACTAACGATTATTATCTTAAACGTGAGTAAACATTCCATCAATTTATTACAAATATGTGGTACTAATTATAAATAAGTTCTGTGTTTGTAAAGGGAGTGCCCGCAAGCATTTTCTCTCTCTTTCGTTACTCACTTTCGCTATAACCTCGTCCTTTTTCTTCTTGTCGACGTCTATTGAGTCTGTTGAATGATTGTGGACCTCGAGCGCGGGTGACGTTATTGGACTTGTGCCTGCAAAAGAACGAGATGGCGTGTTAGAATATCTCTGATAGGGTAAAGATGAACTTATGAAAGTTACTTCAAATTCTTAACAAATATTTCTAGATATGGTCCATTGAAAATGAGAGTCACAGCATATTGTGGACTGTGACTGAATGAGATCCTTTTGCACACGCCACAGCCGGACACATGACGGTATTTCAAATTGCATTGTCTGTTTGTTGATTAAAATGTTTGCTCTTTCTTTGTTTATTTTCTATCTTTTTAAGTGTTGTTGCATTGTGACGTTCGAATAAATGTATTATATTCTAGTCCCAAATTTGACAAAAGTTGTCCATATGGACCCCTGGAAGTCCATGGGATGATCTAAGATCTAATTTTTTTTTATAAGCGATGTTTCCACTGACAAAATCGATCATGACTACTTTCACACTATTTAGTAGGTTTTGTTATATCGTAAAAGTTAATTTACTTGGGGGTTCATCGTTAAAGTTTTGATACGGTAAGGAGCCCATGACTAAAATAAGTTTGGGAAAGGTAGACAGTGCTGTCTATATCCTAATGTAGCTATGTCACATCCTATAACAATATATGACTGTCCATTGTCACTTGAGATCATGCTTGTGGAAAATTTTTACTGTTATATGTAAGTGAGTGTAGGTGGGTAAGTTCGAGACTTAGTCTGCTATTACCTGATAGTACGCTCGCTGGTGATCCTGCGGAGTCGTTGCTGTTATTACTGTCGGTGGTCGCTGACGAGGGTAAGCCCACACCGCTCAGTTCGATCTCGTCCAGGCCCGTGATGTCATCGTAGATGTAGTCGTTCTCCTCGAACCCAGGCTCCAGTGACGAGTCTATGTAGTATTCCACGTCTTCTTTTATTCTTTTTATCTGCGAATGAAACGTCTTTGCTAAAAAATTTAATATGTCTGTAAATGAGTTATTGTTTTTTTTGGTCTCTCTTAGTGCTACACTTTGTATTTATAATAATACATATACATATTTTTATAATAACATAAAGTGACGGGAACACGCCTGTCCATAACAGTTACAGTGCCACTCAGAGCTTTAAATCGCAAAGATATGAGGGGCATAGCCACTGCGCCCGTCACCCTGAGACATAAGTTGACAAGTCCCATGTGCCAGTAATTCCACCAGCACCTCTTCAAAACTGGAATACAGTAATGCTGACATTACTGCTTGGCGGTAGAAATAAGTAACGTGGCAGTACTTCGCTGGACGAACTCTTTCACAAGGAGCTCTACTGCTACTAAACAATAATGTGCTAGACACCCACCGTAATTGCCTAGTCTCACTAGGGAATTCCCTGTATTTGAGTACCAGAGCAACGGAATTCACTCTGAGGCACTTCACAGAGCACCGAGATCAGGAACAATTTGGAAAAGTTCATTTTCCAATTTGATCCTACCGGGAATCAAACCTTGAGATCTCTCATCCAGCGTCCACAGTATAAACCGCTGGACCACCTATGCAGTCAACAAGTGTTCAATGGGGATACTCAACTAGTTACGACTAGGCCACACTAGACCAATCGTCTAAAAGTGCAAGATGAATGATAGTCCAGGCAGTTTATACCCTATCTTTCAACTTTAGTATCAGCAGTAATATGACAGGTTACTGAAGCCGTGTCAAATCGAACAACCACACTGTCAAACTTTCCAAAGGATACTGTACTGTCTTCCCCCTTACACAGTTATCATGCAACATTTTTGTGAAAAGGGATATCAAATCATGAAGTGACCGATAGATGTAAAAAAGATAGCAAAGATAAAGATGAGTGATGTAAATAATAAATTGTTTCTATAGAATATTTGTCTCCTTATGACTGCTAGTGGCACTGTATAATTTGTCATACAAGAATTGACACTGCAAATTCGTGAATCAGGCACTATAAGTCACTAGTAGTGCCCGTCTTTATTTTATCTCTATGGTGGGGTAATTTTAACAAGGAGCCAAGGATTCAATATGCTTTTTTTTATATCATCATCAAGATATCCTGTGCCATCCGCATCCAGCGCGATCCCGCAAATCTGCCGATATCGTCAGGCCATCATGCCAGAGGTCTGTCCGCTGGCCTTTTTACTTCTATTGGTCACCATTCCGTGACCACTTTCCACCATCGTCCATCTTCTCGTTTAGCCAAATTTCCCACCCATCTCCACCTTAACCTCGTGATGCCATTACCCACGACATCGACCGTCGTTATATAGATGTATCTCGATACCTCCCAAGCAAGTTGTTGTACATTTTTTGCTTTTTAACTTAAATATTATATCCTTTTTTTATGTATGACGATATATTAAGTGCGTTTGGGCACAATCTACAGCTATGAGTAGATTTCCCTGCCTGCAAACTAGTTCCCTGAACGTTATAACTTAGGTCTTTTCAAGGCGAGAGCGAATATATAATAATAATATATAATAGGCATTATTAAGGTGTGCATGCTCCATCGTCGACCTCATCGTCACTTTCCATCAAGTGAGATGGAGGACAAATGCGCACTTGTAGTTTATTAAAAAAAATCTCAACTGATGTCAAGCGACAACGAAGCGTTTGCTTAAAAAATGCCTATTCACGCCAGGCTTGAATAGTCTCAAATTGTAGGTATCTGGACACAATTATTATACAGGCAGTGGTATCCTTTGCCGTACGTATTAAGAAAGAACGAAGCGAAGGGCTTCATGCAAATAGGCGGTCTATTAATGCTTATGTGCAATTACACTATTCCATTTGTTTTGATACCAACCTGTTCGACTTCCACAGACATGTTGTCGAGCATTCGGAGTAACGTCTCGAGCTTCTTTATGTGGAACCTGTGCTTCTCAAGTTTGATCTTGAGCTCCTCCATGCGATCCTGTTTCTCTTTGTCCAGCCGTTTTTTCTTACCTACTAGCAGTGACTCTACTTCAGACTCAAATTGATCAACCTGCAAGAGAAAATAAAGTAGTTTTTATTCATTCCATTGTCAACATCGTAGATGTTTAATAGAAAAGGTGAAAGTGTCATTTCGACATTTTTTTCAGCGGAGCGTGTTTTAGGTTTTAACGATTGTTTGATTTGGAAATTCAATGTTGCCTTTAATTAAATTTAAAACAGGACGTAAATATTTTAAAACAGTCATGAAAAACTAAAATACGCTACTCTGAAAAATACGCTATACGTACACACACATTACACGGCAGACACTATCAAATACAAGTGTCATTTAAGGTTAATACTGGAACATGAGTTGCCTTTTTCCACACAAATTTTTGGCATGTTTTTGATAAATTATAGGTCCTATTTAAATATAATTATTGTTTAACTCAGATCGATAATAACGGACAAGTTTTATGTTGTATGTTATTGTAATTTAAAATCTTGCTTCTCTTAGTCAATAATAAACGTTTATATCGGCTCTAACGCACTGTAACATTTTGCGCAGTTGCGTAAATATTCAGTTATTACGACTTATTTTCGCCCATAGTCAATATTTGTTGTCATAATTGGAAAAATTGTCTTTAATTTACTCATGAGGAAACAAGAGATACTTAATTTATTCATGACTTACCTAGCTAGATTGAAGACAGTTTATACCGACACAAATTATATATGCAGGATGTGTTTTTAAACTAATGTGATTGGATTTTTTTTCATTCAATATTAGTATCAAATTGATCAATGACTTCTAACTCTTAAAAATACTGCAAGTTACGGAACAATCGATCTATATGGAGTGAGTTTGAAACCCGCTCACAAATCACATACCAATATATCCAAAAATCTTCCCATTTCCGAGTACTCCATATATACAAAAATAAATAAAAACAAAAATAGCAGCGCTCCCTGTGAAAGAGTTCGTCCAGGGAAGTACTGCCACATTACCTATTTCTGCCGCCAAGCAGTAATGTCAGCATTACTGCGTTCCGGTTTTGAAGGGTAAGGGTGGCGGTGAAATTACAGGCACATGGGTCTTATCAACTTATGTGCCAAGGTGACAGGCGTAGTGGTAGTGAGGGGTCATTTGCGATCTAAATCTCTCAGTGGCACTGCAACTGTTATCGACAGGCGTATATCTTACCATCAGGCGCACGACTTATTCGTCCCGCCATATAATATTATAAAAAAAAACTTGTCATAGGGACGCGAAATAAGCCTTGAATGTATCTAAATCAGGTAAACGTGGACCCCTTGTTAATTCTGGTTTTCATTGTTAATCGATTGTTATTGTTTTATGTCTTAAAAAAGTTTTTAGATAATAAAATATCCGCTTGCACGTGACATATACTACTGTATAAAAATGGTTTTATACCAGTTCAATAGTGTAGGATTGTTATAATACAGGAGGAGGAGCTCTTTCAGTGTTATTGTATCAGTAAATGACCTTCTGTGGGCTATCGGCCTTCAACCTTGACCACAAAGGGACATCAAGAATGTACATTGATTATGGTAGTGGAGTCGAATTTGCAGTTTTTTATAAACTAATTTAGAGTACTTTTTACTGGTTTTCCTTAACCACAGACGCTTCTTTTTGGATGAAAATTAGTACACCTGTTTTCGGGTACCAGTTCCGGGAATTGTTTTCTAAAACTTTTTGAACACGGTTAATGGGCATATTTCAGTATGGTTTAGTGCTTTAGCCATACTGAAACGGAGTTTCGAATAAGTGCTTTGAGGCTGAGCTATATAAAACCAAGTTATGGGCAGAAGCATCGCTCTGTTTATATCACAATGTGATTTTATTGCGATCGTCAACTGGTTTTCAAAGTGCGGCGATTGTGGGAGTTTTTCATTTTAGAAACGTCGTTGTCCAATAGTGAAGGCCAACGCTGAACACAACACGGTTAATTTTTAAGAGGATAACCTTCCCTGCGGGCGTTAGGTAGGGAATATTATTTCTGTCTCTATCGTCCGTGGCTCGAGCACGGATGCGTAAGCGAGATAACGATGGTTTTGAAGTGTTTCTGTATTTTTTATATTTCGAATAATATTTGTAGATAAAACTTTTTATTATATTTTCTGGTGGCCTTATCTAAAAAAAATTTGTGTAGAAAATTATGTCGTCTTTTACGGCCTGCGTAATTTTTAAACTATATTATTTAAGAGGATTACTACGAGCTTGGGCATTAGTCTATAGATTACGCCTACTTAATAACTTTTGAGTTTTTTTAGCTAGTATCTAATATAGGATTAAACTTCGTGCGGAGCGTGCGAAAACTATCTTAAAGGTATGTCTAAAGCATGTCGTGTGGACACAGCTTTGGTGTGTTGTATCATCTATGCCAGGGTTTCCTAACCTTTTCCTAGTCATTCTCAAAATTTCGAAGAGCCCACAAACCCTTTCCGGAAAGATGAAGAAGAAGAAAGGCTCGCGGGTTACATTGACGCGCTTATGCTCGCTCCAATAATGAATGGCCGTCAAAGGGCGCGAGAATTCAAAAAGGTCACACGCACAGTACCTATTTACTCAAAACATATTATATACAAATTTTTATTACGAACGCATTTTGTTAGGTAGGCTTGCCGTGGATCCCCAGCTTTCATTACAGAGACCCCTTAGTGGCCCATGGACCACACCACATGTTAAGAAACATTGGTCTATACTCTCACCTGTAAATTAAGTGCGTCGATGGAGGATACTAGCCACGAAGACATTTCTTCCCTTTCTTTCTGCGCCGGGTCCAGCTTCTGCGCCGCGCCCAGCCCTTCCTTAGAATAAGCCTTCGTCTTCGTCTCTCTCTCCACCACTTTGAACCTTTCCATTTGCTGAAATGAGACAAAACACGTTATATACGTTATCAGGCGTCTAGGTTTGCAGGTATTCTTTGTTTCTTAGTTGTTTCAGATTAATTCGGGCAGATTTCTTATCTTCTGTCCATTTAAACTTAAATGATATTTATAGTAATACATTTAAGGTACAATTTTACATAGTTTTATAATTCTATTATTCCTTTTATTAACTGTTGTGCGTCTTAGTATTTTGCTGCGTAATCGAAACAATGAACTTCATTACATTGAATCTCTCAAGGTATGCTGATTCAAAATTAAAATATATTTATATGTGATTTGTAATAATAAATTATTTACTTTATCAAAGCAACACAGCAGACAGCGTGTCAACTAACGGCACATACATTTAACATACTTTTGTTGAACTGGTCATTGGTTTTAACTAATTGCTTAACAACCAATATACAATAGTTTTAGACCACTTAGTCTGTAATGCTAGACTAATAACCTTGTCTCTCCAAATATAATTTACTGTGCCATACAGTAACATTATGTTCAATGCAATGAAGAATTGAATTAAAAATGTATTAAGTCTTTAATATCTTCAAAAAGTGTGTTAAATCTTTGTCTAACAAGATTACGATTTAACCGGTAATGGTGTTTCTCTTAAACGTTAAAGATAGTAAAAATGAATAAATGAAACAATACAAGATTTACATGTTGCTTATGCCTTACTTTCTTAAACTCGTATCTTATAAAGAGTGTTTACTCAGGAGATGGCAAAACTTTTCTTTATTTATTTAAAATTATTAATGAAGTTATAAAGGGTGTTAATTTGGTTGCATTACTATAAGAATAGATAAAAGTCAGCGTGTGAATATGAAGGAAATGTAATATGAAATCAGACTGCTAAATTTGTATATACAAACTTTTGCTGAATTTGTATTACGTCGCGTAAACAAGTCTGCAGTCTGCGAGCATGTCATGGATAAACCTACACATTCAATGAAGTTTGACAAACCCCAGGTCCTTGCAAAAGAAGTCCGTTATCTGCCCAGGATGCTGCGAGAGGCCATTGAAATTAAAAAACCTCCTAATTTCAACAGGGAAGATGGTTTCTCCGTACCACCAGTTTGGGATCCAGTATTTCCTCTAATGAAAAATCCCAAACAGACATAAGACTGCAGTACTAATTAATATGTTTTAATTTATTCTAATTTCTATTAATAATTAATAATAAATTAAACTTAATAAAAAAAAATTCATTCAATAAAATAATTTGTAAAACTTAATGTAGCGTAAATTGGAATGTTTTCTTTGTAAAATTAAAAATAAGGTATTTAATTAATAACTATTGTAACTATAGTGAAAAAATAGGGTGGTTTGCATCAATATTAGACATAACTGGTTGAAGACTGTACCACCTCAGTCAACCGTGACCATGGGACCTGTAAAGGGCCCGAAACGTCGGTTTGTTTGAAAAAACAAATATACGCGATTTAAATCCGGAAAAATAGTTTCATTCCTTTGTATATACAATTCATTTTTTGCGTATCAGTAACTTTGCGATACGATAGATACGAGTTTGAGAAAGTAAGGCGACGTTATAGTATAAGCAATAAATAAAATTGTCCAAATAGTCACTTTCAGACTATTTTACATGATATTTTTAACAGATAATTTTGACAGTTTGTTAAGCCTTTTGGTGTAGCTCACTTATACTAGCACTAAGCTGTCCACTTTTGTATATTTTACCGTGAAAAACAAATAAGCAATCTCCACTATTCCTCTATTATTAAATTTCTTTATTACTTACTAGTAATAACAACAAACAATTTTTGTTCTAATATTCAGACCTAAGAAGAAGCTTCCCATAATGTTGACGATGACATTTACAATGAATGCAGGGAAAAGTGAATATATTTGCTGTTTTAGTATTAGATTCAAAGCAATTCACATGTTCAATTGAAATAAGCACTGCAGTCAGCAATTTGTGTATGAATAATACAGTACTTCTAAAGAATTTTTGTCTTTATATCCTATATCAATATAAATACAATAAGATTTAATTATTTATATATATTATATTATTTTGTAATGTAAGCCTATACATTGGATTATTAAGAAGTATATTATTTTACCATACTCTATGCACATTTCTTGAAAATCTTATTTCAAAGTACCAAAATGTAATCACCAATGAAATTGGTTAAAAATGGTCAATTTACTCAAGTCATAAAGAAATTGTTTAAACACTTTCGTTAATAATGTTGAACAAATATAACCTTAATAATAAGTAAAACGCAATCTGCATTTTGTTTTTCTCACTTGTTCATGATAATTCAACCTCAAATTGTAAACAAATGCTGACAGCAATACAGATTCTTTTTGAATGTAAATGAAGTATATTTTGGGTCAAACACATTCTTGAGTCATTTTTCAGTCACTTTAAAAATGAATTTGATTATTTGAACTGCTTATTGTTAATGTCTTAATGGATCTGGTTTTGTTTTTGATGGTTTATATGATTTTTGTAAATGATAATGAGTATATATAACTCAAAACTTCCAATTATTATCACGTATATAAATTGTCTCAGGCAGATTTGATACGGCCGTTAGTATTAAAACGAAAAAACCATTATCATGGACTAAAATATGTAATTCAAAATAGACCACAATGGATATATTATGTAGTTTGTCTATTATTTTCTATATAGCCATTAGGTTTTGCTACACCCGAACAGACTCACATGTGTGTCTTAAGCTTACCAGGAAACTTATATGTATAAATCTTCTAAGTCTACGCACATCGGTGGTGCTTTTAACAATGTGTTGTAAGCTTTAGGCAAGTAGGAAGACCTTACTTAGAAGTAGGGAGCATTCTGTTAACAGTTTCAGTGGATTATTTTACTACAAAATGGAGATGTATTTAGTTATTTTAACTAACTGATCTCAGAACAGATTTACAGTCAGCCCATTACGCTACACATTGATGGATCTTGTTTTGTTGCACTGGAGGAATTATACGAACAGAAGTGTATAGCTTGATGTACTGTTGACTGTACATAAACACTTTTTGTTTTCATTAACAGCCTTAGTAAAACTGCCTCTGAACTAATCCAAATACTTGTAACTGTTGGTTTAATGTCACAAGTAATTTACTAACAATTTTTAAATACGTGTGTTCTATTACTTAATTTATATATTTAAATAACATTTAGAATACACTCACCGTTTCTATTAGTTTCCTATATTCTAAAAGTGTACTCTTATCCTTAATCTCCCCGGAGGCGATCCAGGACTTGATCTGGTCCCGTAGCCTCTGGAGCTTCTTGATCTCCTTCTTGAGGTCGGCCTCATACTTTTCCTTTTGGTTACTGTTCGTGGCATTGTGGACTTTTTGCCAGATATCCTCGAAAGTCTCCACGCCTTCCGTTACCTTTTTTAAACACCTGTCTATTTCACCTGAAACAAGGAATATAAATATGAGTATAAATTTCTGCCACGAAATTTTATACACAAATCAAAGAAAGTAAAGCAATAAATGGCTAGTACATGGTCTAGAAACACTGTACACAAAGTTAAAACATAATGCAAGAACACTTTATAAACAGATAAGAACATTGTGGAATTGTAGTAAGTGTGTTATACTAGAACAAAGGTAGGTTTCAGAGGAAAATATATACAATAACAACTATGTTTGTGACCAAAGTTTCTCTTGTGTAACCATTTCTTATTGCTTCTAGGCAATTAAGAACTTTATGATATTTGTAAATAACTTAGTTTTGTATTAGTCAAACTTTCACAAATTTATCAACAGCCTGAAACACAAAACCATTACATTAGACATAGAAAAGGTTCCATTACTTTCAAATGGTCAATATAACAAAAAAAAAAAAATTGTCTGGATACCCTCCTGGGTACCACAATAAATTGGTCAGCTTGATGGCCAATTATAACTTTTTGCCAACCACCTGCACAGTCTCACAATCATATGCCATCGAACTGGTGTACAACCTAACAACAACCTAACTTTACAGAACCTGTTTTTTGAAACAAGTTTTCGTAATAATAACACAATTGTTGTTTTATCAACAATATGTATGGAACCTGATGTGTCGCTGCTGCTAAAACAGCAGCTCACACTGCTTTATCAGTTATGTTACAGTCATGAAAGAAAAACTACAGTAGAAGCACGTAGCTTCCAATAGAACTGTCAAGTAAGACCTGGCGACCTGTTCAAGGCGCCTCGAGCGGCGTCTACCATATGACTGCCCTTTGTCGAGAAGCACGCGACCATCTGTGCATCCTCGCTACGCGACACCTTAGGCCTCGCCAAACTGACAATAATGCTCTAGAACACACGTACTACATCGGTTGGGGTCAATCAATCTCTAACCTGATAACATAACAAATTACCTTGTAATTTTCTTGTCGCAGCCATAGCTATTTACACATGTGGACGAACGTTCCGTACATATCCTAAACATACAAACTATTTACAATAAAATGCACAAAAATTATTGATAAACAGACAAACTACACATCTGAAGCTTTGTTCGATTCCAAGATGGCTACCGTACACCGCTCGAACTGTATCGTAGCGACTGAACGCTTCCAGGCCTACAAAGCGTAAATGATCCTGCCTCAAGCCTGGAATTGTAATTACCGCGAAGCTTTCATAAATTAATTACGAATAGGTTGTCACTAATAACAACAAACTTCAAATTTTCCACAAAATGATTTTAGGACATCGCGTAGACCATCAAGTGCGCAGGCGCAAAATAATAGAGTAAGACATAGACAAAATTGTGTAGAAACTTTAACAAACACCTTTTTTCGTTGATTTACCATATTTTATGAATGAAACATTCTTAAAAATGTATCGTTATCTATTTTGCTACAATAATAGCACAAAAAAAAGGAAAGAAAACAATCGAAAACACTAACTAAAGTTAAACTCCTGAAAATAATAAGTATCCAAGTCCGAAAATTAGACTTATTTTTATTGTCTATGCTATTACGACTGTTTCATGATAGTAATATAAATTAGCAAAAAGTTATTTAAAATTAATCTAGATGGCGCGAAGAAGTAGGAAAATAAGGGCGCGTTCCCACTATGTCGTCACGTTTTATCATCGTTTGACGACTGTCGTGTCTAGCCTGTTCCCATATCACGACTATCTGTCGTAGACGACTTTTTGTCGTTGAAAGACTGTTGTGATTAGCTGTTCCAACTAGATCATGACGACAATTTATCGTTTCACGACAGTCTCCTTGCCCATCTCTGGCTACGACCCAATGCTACTGCAAAGCGAGCAGTGGGCGCGGGGTACGAAAGAGGAGGGCAGGGAGCAGAATACGTGCGGACAGCGATAAATAAAACGTAACGACAATAGGAGCTGCGACAGTTTGTCGTCACGTTTTTATCGTGACTTTTTTTTATCATCCGACGACTGACGTTCTAGCTGTTCCCACTGCCACGACAGGTTGTTGTTGTAACGATAAAAAATCGTAAACGACAGTTAATCGTGTCGTGCTATGTGTGAACAACTTCATTTAAATATACAAGCCACGACACTGTAAACTGCACGACAATCTGTCGTCATGACATAGTGGGAACGCGCCCTACGAAAGCAACAACAAAATGTACTACATTGTGGTACCTCCATTTAATACTAGATGGCGCTCGGAGTAAGTGGCTTCAGATGTTAGTTTAACTTTTTATCGTTAGATGGCACTGCATTATTTTCAAGCTGATCTTTTGTCACAAAACGCATGCAAAACAATTTGTTTAATGAAATCATCTCTTAGCTATAAATTCAGTGTTGACTTTAATATCGCCATAATGCTCTCAAAATGTTTCATAAAGTTTAGGGGCTTTTTTATGATTGCTCGTTTCGTTTACTTTTGTGTTTCTTTCAATAATATTCAACTGACCGCGCAACTGAGTTAAAGCCGGTTACGTAATGGAAAAACGCTGAATTAATTTAAAACAAAATCTTATATTTCAAGTTAATTTAACTTTAAAGCGTTTTATTAGTAGTTCACAATAAGCTGACTTACTGGCACCTGGTGGTCAAGAAAAAATTTTCAAACACTTTGCCACATTTAAAAAGTCGCAATTCAAACTAGTTAAAACTCTTCGTTATTTCATTCCTTTGCCTAGCTTTGTATAGGGTTCTCAGTTTTAATAAAAAGGGATTGTTAGCTCTCATATTTTTACATAGATGTTTGAAAATTACACAATCCAAATATTTGCTGACATGATAATATTTGCACAGTATGATTGGTTGGTACTGGTGTAATGATACGTAAGAAACTTATCATAACACTCAATTAGGTACCAATATTTACATCTGCTGAGTATTATTTTGTATTGTAGAGAGACGAGGAAAGTCACAGAGAGACATGAGACGATTAGAAACATTTGAGATGTGGCGCTGAAGAATGGAAAGAATCGTTAGACGTAAAGAAAGACAAAAGAGGTGTGACGACCCACCTTTTGTCATCCTTTTTTCCGGTTCCTGACCACTTATTTTTAAACTTTCAATCGTTCTCGTAAACCCTTTTCCTTCACTATTCTTATGTTTGTTTAATCTTTATACGGTTTAATCCGTCGCGTCTCGCGAAATTTTTATTTTTTATTATTTTTATGTTCTACTTTCTATATGTCATTTTATATTTGTTACAGCCTTCTCTTTCTTCTTTTATCGTCTCTCACAATAAACCTTGTGGACAGAGCTTTCTGCATTCTCATATCTCTAAAGCTAGGCTACAGACGAAATGTTAAGAATAGTGCAGCAAAATAGAATAGAATTGAATTGAATTATCGAGAATACAATGCAGTTGACGCCCGACCATTATTTGTCCTGGGCTCTTACCGTTGGTGGAATAAGGAGTTACGCGGTAAGAAAAAAGGACATTTTCTAGTCGTCTTTTCAGGGTGAGGTGATCGTTTGTACTTGACGAAATTCTGAACTTGAAAGTGTGGACCAGGCGTTCGGCTAAGGCGTTTGTCCGGTGATGGTACGGGAACGGTTTGATGTGTATAATACCTTGGTCTCTACAATAGTCTTGAAATTCCCGAGTGTGAACTGTGGCCCATTATCAAAGACCAAGAATTGTGGGAAACTGAGTGTGGTGAATATGGAATCTACCTCTTAACACAGTTTAGATGTGGTTATCTGGCTCATGGGCTTAATTTCGATCCATTTCGAGAGTGCGTCTGCTAGGACAAACCAGTACTTCCCTTCGAATGGGCCCGCAAAATCGATGTGTAGTCTCTTCCATGGGTTAGCAGGAACTGACCATGAGTATAAAGGCAATTCAGGATTATTTGGCCGGTTCTCTTGGCATTTGCGACAACGTTTGATGTACTCCTCAATATTTTCGTCTATGGATGACCGCCATATATAAAACACGCTAGCGCTCTCATTGCTCGGATATGCCCGGGTTTCCTGTATGCAGGTATTTCAAGGTGGCCCTTCTCAGCGTGGTCGGTATTACTAGTCGACCTTGCCACAATAAAATGTTATTTTCAATTGACAATTCTGTGCGCTTCCGAGCGTAGGGCTTCAAGTCATCTAAATAAAGATTTTCACGCCAACCGGTCTTAATGTACTGTGAAACCATTTTGAGTATAGGGTTCTTTCTTGAAGCATCTCGTATAATGTTCTCCGTTAAAGCAACGTCTGAAACTCTTTCATGTTGCAATTTGGCTACTATTCTGTGTAATCTCACTTCTGAATTGGCTGATTATCTTTCTAGGATGCCAAATCCAGAAGAGAGACCCTCTTCTGGATTTGGCATCCTAGAAAGATAATCAGCCATAAAATTTAGATGCCCCTTAGTGAATACGATGTCGTAGTCATACCCACCAATGGTTAAAGTCCAATGTACTAGGTGGTTATTAACAAGGTTTGGCAAGTTACGCAGCGGCCCTAAAACGTGGATTAAAGGCTTATGATATGTTACTAATGTGAATTTTGTGCCACGTAAATATTGATCAAACTTTTGAAGTCCGAAAAATATTGCTAGAGCTTCTCGGTCAATAACTGAATATTTCGCTTCCGCTGATCTTAGTTTCCTACAAGCAAAATCGATGGGTTGAATTTTGTTGACCGCTTTATGATAAAGCACGACACCCACGCCTTTTTCCGATGCGTCGCATGCTAAGAACAATGGGTGCTTTTCGTCAAAAGCTACAAGTGGTTTTGATCTACAAATAAGACTTTTTGTATCCTCAAAAATTTTATTCTCTTTGTCGTTTCACCGCCACTTCTGGCGGCGACCAGTGCATGCAGATTCGCGCAGACGCGATGTGGGTGAGACATAAATTTCTCGTAAAAATTTATCAAACCTAAGAACGACCTCAGTTCTTGAGGATTAGTAGGCGTAGTCGCTTTTGTTATCGCCTCAATTTTTGATTCGGTTGGGCGAATTCCGATTTTGGTGATTGTGTGCCCCAAGTATTCAATCTCTGTCTGGAAAAATTATTTTTTTTAAATTTACTTTACACCTGCTTTCTGTAATTTCTTAAACACGTCGAAAGCGTTTGAAGATGTTCGACGTCATCCTTCCCTGTTAAGGCAATATCGTCAAAATACACTGCGACATTTGTTTTACCATTCAGAAGTTCATCTAAGTAGTGTTGGAAGATTGAAGGAGCTGTTGAGTTCCCAAACGGCATCCTATTGTATTGGTAATATCATTTGTACCTAGAGATTGTCAGATACTCTTTCGACTTTGGAGCAATTTCAAATTGCAAGTATGCATCCCTTAAATCTATTTTCGAAAACTTGTCTCCATTTGCGAGATTTTGACGTAACTGGACAAATAGTGGAACTGGGTGAGAGTGAGTAACAATAACAGGGTTAATAGTGCTGCGAAAATCACCACGAATTCGGATTTGACCATTTGTTTTTACTACATTCACTGTGGGAGTAGCCCATTCTAAAGGTGTTACATTTGGATGCACTTTATTCGCTATTCCTTCGTCAACTAGATGCCGAAGTTCAGTTCCTATGTTTTTACGCAAGGAAAACTTAACTGGTCGAGCAGAGACATGTTTAGTTACTGTCCCAGGTTTTATATGAATGTTGACTTCATAATTTTTACCCTTCCTGTTTTGTTATCAAAAAGTGAAATAAAGAAGAAAGGGTATCCAATACCTGTATAAGTGTGGTGCTATGTTGAACGTACTTAATCGAATAGATTGGTTTTGGGAATGTCATCTTGGACATGTCGCATTACCGGAGGATAAAAAGCATGGGATTGGCGTCTTCCATAACCACCACGGGTGTGTGCAACCTCTGTCAGTCCTTTTGGTTTGAGTTTAAGGTTCCCATAAACACGTAACTTTCCGCTTCCGCTTCCAAAAATGTGTACTAATAATAGAATACACTGACCCGGGGTCCCAATCGATCCTGCAACGGACACCGTTGATGGTAACATCAATTCGCTTGCTGTCCTTGTGTCGTTTGCGTTCGACCTTGCAAACATCTTCACTCTCATCCGAGCTCGTGTCAAGAGACTGTGACGAACATTCGTCGCTATGCGTATTGTTCTTAACATTACGCAGCTTGGTGCCGCATTGTCTGTTTCTTCTCTGTCGCGAAACTCGTTAAAGACCACAATAAATTTAGAAAAGTTCGTTTTTTTTTAATTTTAATTCGTGATCTTTTTCTAGCGCCTAATAGTTTAGGTTAATCTTTTGCAAAAAAAGTAATAAAGAACATTAAAGATGTACATTTGATCAACAAAGTTACACAAAA